TCCCGTCCCCCCAAATCAAACTCAGCCCCCATTCCAATAAACTGATATTCTACTACGAAATGATTGTTTGTGAATTTTAGTTCATAGGACTGATGTCCATTTATTTGTGACTTGTGGTTATGTCCACATTATAATAAGAATATCTGACACAGAAACTGAGGATGCATCCACACCAGTGGTTCCCAACCCTTCTTTTGACCAGGAACCACTTTGACCAGGGACCACTTGAATGGAGACCACTTAACCAGGGACCACTTTGACCAGGAAGCACTTTGACCAGGGACAATTCTCTAACATTAATACCAAAAGGGGATGGACTAGGTAGCTCTGCAGAAAGGAGCAGAAAAAAATAAAACAAAATAAAATAAAATAATAAAGAGGAAGGAGTTTCGCAGACCGGATTTTTGTTCTCGTGGCCCACTGCTAGGCCACAGTCCACAGGTTGAGAACCACTGATCTACACTATAGAATTAATACAGTTTTGACCACTTTAACTCTCTGTATAACTGTGCAGTGTGGATACTATCTGCATTACTTTGGCATGACTTTGCCCTCCCTGTTGCTCTTAACTGTCTTAAACTATATTTCTAAAATATCAAGCTCAAGATACTGAATTGTCAGAAATCTCAGGCCTGAAAGAAAATTGCTACTGAAAGAAACTAATGATGAAATAATTTAGAAAAGGGCAAACTGCCAATATTATAAGTTCCTTAAAAGGCTCTGAAAGTTCACCCAACCACTCCATTGCTTTTTTCCTGGAAAAGGAGGGAAGATGACACCGGATTCTCAGAAACTCCATTCCTTTCTCTTTCTGTTACCTCCAGATGCAACTTACCATAAAAAGTGCATGTGAAAAATTTCAAAATGTGATTATTAGTCCAGAAAGTCATCTGAATGTGGTGTGTGGTGGATTTGCTTCAGACTACCAGAAGACCACAGAAAGGTTAGTGTTGATTGCAGATTCATTTTCAAGAGAAAGTAAATTAGGCCTGTGGGGAAATCATCACAGCACTGAAAAACCTTAAACTTCTTTAAGAGCAGTTACTATTATGATCATTATTATAGCTTCCAGGCTTGGTCTGCAAACTGATCAGGAAAAAAGAAAAGAAAAGAAAAAATACAACTCAGTATGCAATTGTTCTTCTCATACCACTCTGTTTTCAGAAATAAACTGGTGAAAGTTCTGATAGGTTGCTGAAAATGTTTGATGCTTGATATCAATATCTGGACTCCTCTTGTTCTTTATTTATTTAGAGTATTTATACTCCGCTTTTTACCAGAAACTTTCTCAGATGGCTACAATTTACAATTTTACTGTTTAAATAAGAAATGACACACAAGGGAAAAGGAAAGTCAGTGGAGGGAAAGGAATAAGTCCAGCGGAAAGTGCCTCTTTTTCTCTCCCTCTGAGGCTAGGGCAGTGGAAGCTGGGATGAAGGGGAGCATCCTTCATCTGCTTCTGAGTCTAGACATGAAAGAACTCCACTTTCTGCTGCTTCTCTCCTCAGATGCCACAGCAATAGCAGCTGGGACGGAGGACAACCTTTCATCTGCTTATGAACCTAAGCATGGTGGAACTGTGTGTGCCAGCCCCTTCTTTTCTTCCTCTGAGGTTAGGGCACTGAAAGTACAATTCTTCTGCTTCTGGGTCTAGCCATGTTGGAGCTTTAGCTGTCTCTTCTTTGCTTCTCTATGTCTTCAAGGCCAAAGCAGAGAGCTTTCCATCTGTTTCTGGGCCCTGACATGATGAAGGTTTTCCTGTGAATTCTTTGTTTCCTCAGAGACCAGGGCAATGGCAGTTGGGATGGAGGAAGGGCACTTTATCCTCTTCCTGGACTAGGTATGATGGGGCTGTCTCTGCTTCTTATTGTTTCACCCTAAGGTCTGGGCAGCAGCAATTGGGATGGGTGGTAGGCATGGGCAATCCTACTAAATGGTTCTAAAGTACTAAATGGTTCTAAAGTACTAACAAAACTAAAGTTCTGGTGTTGAAAACTAGGGGGTGCTGGTGCTTTGTTTCTACAGTGTTGGTAAAGTTCTGGTGGTGAAAATTTCAGAACCCTAACAAAACTTTCAAAATTTTGTTATAAATGTCAGTTCCTAATTGGTTCTGTCATAAAAGTCACCAATAATGAAATTATAATGAAATTTTGAAAGTTTTGTTAGAGTTTTAAAATTCTCACCACCAGAATTTTAGCAACACTGCAGATGCAAAACACTAGAACCCCCTAGTTTTCACCACCAGAACTTTAGTTTTGTAAGTACTTTAGAACCATTTAGAACCATGGATTACCCATGCCTAGCCTTTCATCTGTTTCTGGGCCTAGGAATGTGCCTACCTCTTCTTCTCTCCCTTTGAGGTCAGGGTAGTGGCAGTTGGGATTGAAGGAGGTCCTTTCATCTGCTTCTAGGTCTAGTTATGACGAAGCTGTGCCTGCCTCTTCTTTCCTTCTGAGCTAGGGAAGTTGTGATAGATGAAGAGAGCCTTTCATCTGCTTCTAGGCCTAGACAGGTTGGATCTATACCTGTCTTCTTCTTTCCCTCCATCCCAACAAGCAGCTGTTCAAAGCAGTCTCTTGATGGTTATTTGAAAATGGTTACTTTTGCTGGTGGCTCTTTGACTCCTAATTCCTCTAATTTTTTCATCAGGATTTGAGAATAAACTGCTCCCATTGTGGCTTCGTTGTGACGTCAGGAAGAGCAACTAGTGGTTCTCTAAATATTTAATTGCACTATTGAAGGATGGCTTGTAGTTCAAAACCATCTGGGGGATGCAAGACCAAAAAAGATAAATATTTTGATTATGAAGAAGGCAGGAAGTGTTAGATATGGTTTTCTGTTTTTTTATTTCTAAACTTTCCTGTCATCTGTGTTTCAACATGCTCTACAACCACTTTTCTATTCCCTTGTTTTACACAAAATAAGATTTTCTTTATTTTTCTTTTTTACATCGTAGTAACCTCTTTTTTTTGTATTAGATGATGGAAGAAGCTGATAATATTAGATTTTTTTTAAAATGCCCCTACTCTATACCTATTCCTGTACCCCTCCCTATTTCTTATGTCTTATCAATACAAATTATACTTAAAAGATCTGAAGGGCCACTAATTGACTATTTCTGAAATGGAGCAATACTGTGTCTTATGTGAATTAATTATCCTCTCATGTCATCCTCTAAGTATTTAATTGAAAAATTCTCAGATCTTCAATGCAGCTCACATCACAATCTCTCTACATGTTCATCTGCTCATCTTGATAAATGTTATAATATGCCCTGAGCTGATTTTTTTAACCAGTTACTCTACTTTTCAAAATAAAATATATAATCTCCGGAGCAAGGGGACTACAGAAATGTTGTTGCTAGACAGGTCAATTCACAGAAAGGGTGGTATCAGAACTCAGAGCCTGGTACCGAGTTTGCTGTTTTCATGGCTCATTTTTAAGAAGGAGATGAAGGTGCAAGTTTTCCGTCTTCCGGGCTGTTTAATTCCAGGTGAATGCAAATGTTGTCTAAATTTCCATTTTAGATGGTAGATCAGCAGCTTATGTAAGGATAAACTGATTCATTGTTGCAACTTGCAGTGATTTTTGTGGGGCCTGTATCTATTTTGTACCCAGTCAGAGTGGTGCCAGGACTCACCATCCATGATTTCTGCTTCCACTTTCCAGCTATAAGTAAATAGACTAGATTCAGTTTTCCTTATCTCATCTTTCTTAATATATGAGAAGGAATAATTTTCTCATTTTACCTTCATTTAGGAATGGCCTTGTTGACTAAGATTTTTCTCTTAATTTCCAAGGAGGAAAAAATGTTCTCTTTGTGTGCATGCTCAAATAGAAACTTCAGGGACTGAAATAATCCTGAACTACCAACCTTATGACTTCATCACAATACTTACGGGATTCACCATGCATCGTGGTAAATCTGAAAGGGTCCATCAGGGGACATGGGGAACCTGTCACTTCACACCCCACATCATCAGGCTTCCCCCTTACCACATCCCATGGGGGGGGGGGAACCGTCCACCACTTGATTTCCCTCCATTGATCCTAATGCAACACGGGAAGCCTCCTGTGTTGTCACAACAGCAATGTATGATGGTCCTACTTCATTTGTGCCATAAAGCCCTGCCAGAAGTAGTTTGGAGCCAGCAGGTTCCGTGGTACAAATGAAGTAGGACTGGCATATGATGGGCAATGCAGCCCATCTGAAGAGGCCCCTAGTCTCACTATGAGTGCATCTCCACTATAGATTTAAAGCAGTTTGATACCAATTAAATTGCCAATGTGCTAGACACTCCTCCCAGTTTTGTGACACCTGCAAAATTGATAAGGACTCCCTTCACCCTGTCATCTAAGTGTTGAAGAGTAATGGCCCTGGGACAGAGCCCTGAAGCACTCCATGCAAGACCTCCTTCTAGCAGTCACTGATCACAACTCCTTAAGTGTAGTTTCTCCAACTAGTTATGGATCCAGCTGACAGTGTTCCTATCTAATTTACACTTAATCCATTTCCTAGCAAAATATGATGAGGATCTTAACAAAACGTTTTGCTGAAAGGTAGATAAATGATGTCTACTACAGCATTCCCATCATCTACTAAACTTGTGACCTAATCGAAAAATGATACACAACTAATTTTGGTAGAATTTGTTCACTGCAAACCTATACTAGCTCCCAATGATTACTGCACTGTTATCAAAATACTGAAAATATTTTGAAATATAGCTCTGTTAGCGGGGATCAGAAGCACCTTGAATATGCATGAAACACAATTGCAATGTGACAGAGAGACGTGCCTCACTTGCATATCTTAAAGCTTGGGCAGGCTTCTATGAGTGAATATGGTCCTGATTTCATGAGTGCAACTGGTGTCTATCTTGACATTTATGGAAAAAGAATGAGATAATGATGAGCAATAATTTGTTTTGTGCTCTTTCTCTTTTTCTAACAGGATTGTGCAGTGAAACAGCAACATTGGCAATTTCATTAAGAATATAATGCAGAGAAACAACTTTTACTTTATGGATAAGGAGAACCATAACTTTGGCGAACTTGGAAATGGTACATGCAACAGTATGATCTGCAATAATGTGGATGCTTGTTTAAGATTAAATGATCTAGTCCTCCAGAGCATAACCATTTTTATCTGCACAGTTGGACTAGTGGAAACTGGAGTTGTCATCTGGTTTCTTAGCCTTGGCATCCAGAAAGTTAATAGTGTCACCACCTACTTCTTGAACTTGGCTGTAGCAGACTTCGGCATCCTGACCTTTTTGCTTGTTTTTGCTATCCATTCTGTCCATGAATATCTTCAGGAAATCCCTGCATACCCCTTACCGCTAAAGACAGCAGCATTTTATCTCTTCTTCTTGGCATATACAACAGCCTTGTATCTCCTAACAGTTGTCAGTATGGAAAGGCTTCTGATAGTCTACTTTCCAATCTGGTACCATAGTCACCGGCCAAAACAGACTTCAGCTATCGTGTCCTGCATGATCTGGGCTGTGTCTGGTTTGTTGTCTGGAACAATTGTTTTACTTCATTATTTTTGGTCATATGAAAGCTCTATCAACATGATCAGGATCATCTGCAGTGGAAACTTTGTTGTCGTTACTCTCCTTGTGACTGTCTCTACTGTCACCCGGTTCATCAAGATCTGCTCACAGAAAAATGCACCAAAATGTATTTATGTTACAGTTCCACTCCCTTTAATTTGTTTCATCCTCTTTGCCATTCCAATTAGCCTCTTTTACTTCATAGAATACTTAGGCTATAGTCCCCCTTCTAGGATAATGTTGATTTGCTTTCTCCTTGCTTCATTCAACAGCACTATGAATCCTGTAATTTATTATGTCATTGGAGGCCAATGGAAGCGCTGGGGATGGAAGAGAACTACAGGCTGTGTTCCAAAATGCCTTGCACCTCTCTGAATATTGTAGTATGAAAGATCCCAGTAGCCTTGGATAGAATAGATAATGGTGTTAGTTGCAAGACCAACATCTAGATGACCAAATGATGCCAATTTTGATGTAAAGGATGAGGTAGGATCTAGCATTGTTTGAACATTAGAATCATAGAATCATTGAGTTGGAAGAAATCTCATGGGTCATCCAGTCCAACCCCCTGCCAAGAAGCAGGACAATCGCATTCGAATCATCCCCAACAGACGGCCATTCAGCCTCTGTTTAAAAGCCTCCAAAAAAGGAACCTCCACCACACTCGGAGGCAGAGAGTTCCACTGCTGAACATCTCTTACAGTTAGGAAGTTCTTCCTAATGTTCAGGTGGAATCACCTTTCCTGTAGTTTGAAGCCATTGCTCCACATCCTAGTTTCCAGAGCAGCAGAAAACAAGCTTGCTCCATTGGACTACAACTCTAGAAAAGAGGGTTCATCAATAAATGAAGTATTATATAGATGCCAAGTGTGTGTGCCTTCAAGGCCCTTATCCACATGTGGTGACCACCATGAATTCTATTGGGTTTTCTTAGGAATGGGATACTCAGAGGTGATTCTGAGTATCCTTCCTAAGATAAACTTTTATCTAGTTTACAGTACCAAGTATTCATTGGTAGTCTCCTATTATGTATTCACAAAGGCTGTCCCTGCTTAGCTTCCTTATCATAGGACCCGGTGTTTTTAAGGAATTTAGCTCATGAAAGATATCATGTCTTAGAATAATATAATTTTCATTAATTGTTAGAGAATGAATTCTGCAAATTGCCATTTTGTTGAAATGTTGGTTCATTAACAGAGCAGAGATAGGAGGGGGATATTGAAGAAGAGTAGGCTGGGTTTCCATTGAATGGAAAACATGTAGACCCTCAAAGCTCCAGACACCAACCCAGAAAATAAAGATAGTGGTAACTGGAAAACAATTACTTCATCAAACCAAAAATGACCAAGGGAGGTGGAGTTGAAGGAGGGACAAGAGCAGAACGTGGAGCCAGGGGTTGAGTGAGCAATGTTAGTGTGCAATGTGTGACCAAGAGAAACTTGTATACAAAAGGCTTTATTTTGTAAATGGGTGTCACATTATTCCGGCATTACTGAAGCCCATCGTGGGTTTTGCTTCTGCAGAAATAAAGCTTCTGTGTTTGTAATCTCCTCGTTCCTGGTCTTAATTGGGAAACAAGGCCAGGAATATATTTAAGGGATGGCCTGCCATTTCAAAATGAACTACGCTGGTTTCATGTCTGAATTCAAGGAATTCATGACCCTAAACGGCTTTGGAATTTCAATAGTGAAAAATATAAAACAAAAAGAATGGACTGTTTTTTACATTTACATTTCAAACATTTCACTCTCATTTTATACATTTAAATTATATTCACTGTGTTTCTCATTCTTCTCTTAGGTCCCATCTACATTGCCATATAATACAGTTTGAACTGCATTATAATTGTCAGTGTAGATTAATATAATGCAGATTGAACTGAAATGAACTGGATTATATAAATTTACACTGGCACATAATCCACTTCAATGCAATTAATCTGCATTATATGGCTGTATAGGTGGGGCCTTAAACTCCACTAATTATTTCCCAGACCTGACTGACTAACATACCTCCAGTTCACACTCATGCACTCCACATTCCACACCCTTCTCCCAATAACAGACCAACAGCCAACCACCAACTTTATTCAAATTCTTTTAATCATTCCAGTAATCACTACTCACTTTCAACTTTCCATTTACCTAACTACTCCCAACAGCACCTTCTCTGATCATCTCTACTATACAACCCTCCAAAAGTATATGACATAGATTGGTGGCAGATCACTGTGGACCACCTTCTGATCTCTCTGGGAGCAATTACAATGGAATATTGCAAAACCAATCCTAATTTAAGTCACAATATATATTGCAGTAACAATACAAGAGACTATATAAGAAACTGAATGTATTTAAACAGTCCCCAAAATTATTTTGAAAGCTACAACCATGAATCTGGAAACACACTCCACTGCACACTGCTGCATGTCACAAAGAAAACTGCAGAATAAAATGGTAATTAAAGGAATATTCTCCTTGGCACATACATATACACCAGCTCTTCTGATTTACCAGATACATTTTCCAGTAATTTTTTTTATCATCTCACCAATTTATCTGCTTTAAAATGTCTCTCTCCTTACTTTATTTTTTTGCAAACTACAAACAATATTTATCCTTAGTTAACTCTGTAAGTGATGGGAAGAGATGGGGAATGGAATCTTTCCCTTCCCAGCACACTTAGGTAAAAGCAAACTGCTTGACCTTCCCCATCTCCTAGCTTGGCCTCCCCTTTTAATAACTTTATCTTAAGGCAGTGGTTCTCAACTTGTGGGCCCCCAGATGTTTTGGCCTTCAAATCCCAGAAATCCCAACCGCTGGCAAACTGGCTGGGATTTCTCGGAGTTGTAGGACAAAACATCTGGGCACCCACAGGTTGAGAACCACTATCTTAAGGAGACTCTGACATTGCATGGCCACACATTTCATCGATGTAGGGCAGTGGTTCTTAACCTGTGGGCTGTGGACCACCAGTGGACTGCGAGGACAAAAATCTGGTCTGCGAGGTTTCCTTCCTCTTTATTTATTTTATTTCTGCTCCTTTCACACTACCTGCCACTCCTTCCCTCTTGCTGACCAGCCCCGCCCCCTTGGATAGACCACATCAGCTCTAGATTATTGAGAGATATATTGTTGTTTTAATTGTTTTAATTGTTGACCATTTAATTGCTGGTTTTATATGTTATTGTATTTGTGTAGGCACCAAGATGTGCCTTTTTGTAAGCCGCCCTGAGTCCCCCTCGGGGGTTGAGAAGGGCGGGGTAGAAGTATACGAAATAATAAATAAAAAATAATAAATAGATTATTAAATATGGATTTCTGTGGGTGAGCACATAGCGACTACTGGATGGCATATGCTCTGTATCAGAAATCAGAGCTGATGTGGTCTATCCAATACAATTTTATGAGTCAGCACCCCAAACTACCAAACCAAATGTAAAGTTGACCAAAAACTGATTTGTAACCCTTTTGGTATTACTGTTGGAGAGTGGCCCCTGGTCAAAGTGATCCCTGGTCAAGTGGTACCTAGTCAAGTGATCCCTGATAAAAAAAAAAGGTTGGCAATGACTGTTGTAGAGAATGCCCCTATTCTTCCATCTAATCCTTCACTTTTCTTTCTTTCTTTCCATTTATGTTTAAATCAGCTCATCGGTCCACCCCCACTCTGGGAAAACATACAATTTACATTTTCTGTAACACTAAGCATCCCCTGACTTTTCAGAGCTTTTGTGTTTCTCTGGATCCAAGGAGACTTTCAAACATTCAGTAGAAACACTGTTATTTCTAGTTGAACTTTCCATCACCCATGGCCAGAGGGAGGTTCTTTTGTAAACAGCTTTTTTTCTGTTTGGAACCAGGATTGAAAATTGCATATTAGTTTTATTAAAAAGGCCAAGAACCCCTAGCAGGCATGCATTTGTCTTTATGCTGATCACTCAGATCCATCACCCAAGTGAGCCTTGGAAACCAGCTCAAGCCCCTCTCTGTCTTGCAATGCCAGGCCTGGATTATATCATTTTTAACAGCAAATTAAAACAGCAATTTGTAGCCAAGGAGGCAGCGCTATTGGCTGTAAATATATCAGACAACAGCAATTTGAGAAGTCAGGGTGTGGGTGGATGGTGGATTTGGATCAGAAAGGAAAGAGACAGCAAGTGTAGGCTAAAAGCCAGTTTGGAGAGGCAGTCAGATGGGGTTGCTGAAGAGAGCAAAGTGAGGACTGAAGAGTGGATGCAAGAAGTAAAAGGAGAAAACTAGCAACCTGTTGAGGAAAAACCCCAGAGACCACCAAGCAAGAGCTATTTGCTGGAAATTCACATTTCAATGGAACCACAGGAACAGAATGTCACATGCGAGAGGCAGAAACCTTTCTGTGAGTTTTGGTTTTTCTCTTCTAATGAAGAAATAGAGAGTTTCTGTTAATATTTTACACTATGCTTCCTGTCTCTTTTCCCTTTCCTAAGAACAAGAAGGAAATGCTTTGTATCCTCCCTTCCTAGGACTCTTTCTTAAGGTCAAAGTCCAGGGACTCATGCTCATACCCAAGGCAGTCCCATTCTTTCCAGCTATCTCAGTTTGACAGTGACACTTGTAATTAATGCAATTCTGGTGTGATGTTTTAATTTTTTCAGCTTACTTTGAAATGTTACTGTTTCCTCCTTCAACTTCCCCCTTTTATCTTCAGCTTCCCTCGGTTACTGCAAAGTTGTGTTCCAAATGCAAACATAGATTGCACACAGTTAACTCAGCAGGAACGGAGGGAGGATTGTTGTCTTTCCCAGTAGACTGCATCAAAAGAAAATTGCTGTTGCCGCTCCTAATTTGTGTGATTTATCTCATTAATAAGCTTTGCTGTCATGGTCACACACATGATATTATTAGCCTCACACATTCTAGTTTTTATCTGTGTAATGGCAGAGGACATGGGATCCCCAATAAAGCAATATTAATGACATAACTGGCAAAGTCATATTGACTTTCTGCTGTTCCAGAGACTGAAACATGGAGTAATGGATTCAAACTGAAAAAATATTAGGTTCTTGTGGGTTTTTTCGGGCTATAGAGCCATGTTCTAGAGGCATTTCTCCTGACGTTTCGCCTGCATCTATGGCAAGCATCCTCAGAGGTTGAGAAGGTCTGTTGGAAGTAGGAAAAATGGGTTTATATATCTGTGGAATGGCTGGGGTGGGGCAAGGAGCTCTTCCCTGCTGCAGTTAGGTGTGAATGTTTGCTGATCACCTTCATTAGCATTTGAAGGCCTGCCTGAGCCTGGGAAAATCTCTTGCTGGGAGGTGTTAATCTGTGCCTGGTTGTTTCCTCTCTGTTGTTTTGCTGTTGTAATTTTAGAGTTTTTTAATACTGGTAGCCAGATTTTGTTCATTTTCATGGTCTCTTCCTTTCTGTTGAAATTGTCCACATGCTTGTGGATTTCTACGGCTTCTCTGTGTAGTCTGACATGGTGGTTGTTGGTGTGGTCCAGCATTTCTGTGTTCTCAAATAATATGCTGTGTCCAGGCTGGTTCATCAGGTGCTCTGCTATGGATGACTTCTCTGGTTGAAGTAGTCTGCAGTGCCTTTCATGTTCCTTGATGCGTGTCTGGGCGCTGCGTTTGGTGGTCCCTATGTAGACTTGTCCACAGCTGCATGGTATACGGTAGACTCCTGCAGAGGTGAGAGGATCCCTCTTGTCCTTTGCTGAACGTAGCATTTGTTGGGGGAGGGGCGGGGTGGGGGGGGAGGAGGGGGGGGATCGGAGGTTGCGTTGATTACGAAACAGATGTTGCTCGGCACAGTACGGCGCAAACGCAGTCGGGAAGTAGGGCGGGCGCAAGACGAGCAGGCGAGAACGTCAGGAGAAATGGGCCGCGGCTTCAGGCAACACTGGCTCGAGGATGCCCGGAAGAAACCACAAGAACCCGAGTGATATTGCCAGCCAGGAAAGCCGGCGACAAGACACGGGGAAGAAAAGAGGCCGCGGAACAGGGAGAAAAAAAAAAAAAGAAAAGAAGACAGTGGATAGAAAATAATTCCTGATAGTAAGAAGTATATTAGTATATTCTGTCCAGTGGAGTCTCCTGTTCTGAAGGTTTTAAAATAGAGGCTGGATGACCATCGTTCAGGAAAGCTTTGAATGTATATTCCTTCATGGCAGAATGGAGCTGGATTGGGTGGCCCTTGGGGTCTCTTACAACTCTTAGATTCAATGAAAGAAGACCTAATATCAGCAACTGATATCAGGTTTGCCAGGAAAGACATTTTGCAGTGTACTACATCCTTTATTGCCTTTATTGTACTGCCTTTCTTCCAACAGAAAACTCAAGATAGCTTGCAACAAGTAAAAAACTAGGTACAGGTTATCTGAACCTCCAAAATCCAAAACACTCTGAAATCCAAAATCATCCATATAAGTCACTGAGTAAGTGACACTTTTACGACCTAATGATTCAAAATTTATTTGATTACTTATTAATTTGCTTTATTTTTATCCCACTTTTCTCCTGATATAAGGACTCAAACTGTGTTTCATGCATGAAAGTTTTCAAATATTCTATTGTAAATAGAATTGCCTTCAGGCGTATATGAAACATGAATGAAAATTGTTTTGCTGTGAGTTTTCTAGGCTATATGGCCATGTTTCAGAAGCATTCTCTTCTGACATTTCATCCACATCTATGGTAGGCATCCTCAGAGGTTGTGACCTCGCAGACTCTGAGGATACCTGCCATAGATGTGGGTGAAACATCAGGAGAGAATGCTTCTGGAACATGGCCATACAACCTGGAAAACTCACAGCAACCCAGTGATTCCAGCCATGAAAGCTTTTGACAACACAATGCATTTTGTATTTCTACTTGGGTCCCATCTCATGATGTATAAGCAAGTATTCCAAAATTCAAAATGCAGAACACTTCTGGTCTGAAGCATTTTATATAACAGATGCTCAGCCTGTAAAATTAAAAACCTGAATATACAAATGTTAAAATAAAAAGCAAGTAAAATCAGTGATCATATTTACCTTTTCATAATCATTTTTTGCTATTGACCCTGCCATAAAGATGTCATGGTAAAGTTTACTGATAGCAGGTTTGCTATTGCTTTCTGCTAAAACTCAGTTAGACTAGAATCCAATTTCTTGGTTTACTGCAAGCATGCTGCTGCAACCTATCACTGATATATGTTTTCCATTCCTTCAACATCATCTCAATGTGCTAAACAGAGCTAGACAGCAGATGACAAAGAAATGAGGCAAAACTGGGCAAGCCTAGAAAGACTGTATAAAAAAGAGCTATTTGCTCAGAGATTGCAGGTGAATCAACAGTGATGACTAAATCCTGGGCCAGTCCAAAGCATAAATGCTCAAAATTGGCCCCAGAGGTAGCCAGACACACACAGCCAAACCTGTTGGACTACCGCTGGTGTCCCCATGCCCAGCCACCCTGAGATTTCATTAGCCCCATTGCCCTTCATATCCCAACTGGCCACAGAGCTCCATGTGAGCTCCTGACCACCAACAGAGGTACCAACTTGACCAGAAGAAATACAGGGGCAACCTCCCTTTCTTCCTCCTGCTCTTCAAGGAGCCATTGTTGATATCAAAATAGGCTCAATGACTAGGAGCTTACATGGAACTCTGTGATTGATTGGTAGCAGTAAGTAATGATTTTCATAATCATTAGTTGCTATTGACCCTGCCATAAAGATGTCATGGTAAGGCTTACTGATAGCAGGGTTGCTATTGATAGCAGTGACGCAGGCATAGTCCCTCCCATTTCCATATGCTGATGAACCAAGATAAAGAAGGATGGTGCCAATGTCCCACCTGGACAACAAGTTGGTACAAATCCCATTGTCCACACTGCCCAGGAGCTCAAGATACTCTGGAGTGACCAGGGAACTCCTAAGTATCCCCTCCCTTTGACCAAAGTGGGATAGAATTGGTTTAGCCCTGCAAACCCTGTGATAGTCACCAGAAGTTGGCAAACATTGTGGGAACAGACAGAATTTGAGGCGAGTTTACATTTTCTTGCCCATGTAGACTTGTCATCTGTTAACCAAGGTATGTCTTTATAATGTCACATGGAAACCACATGATGCGTTATGTTTCTCCAATGGCTGTAGAACTGTGCTTTATTCCCTTTCTCCTGATCCTTTGTGATTCTGGTAGAACATCAATGCTAGTAGTACAGTGAACCTGCACTATGTTTTAATCTGAACTTTGCAGAGGTCATTTAAGATGCTGTGGCCTATTTTAGGGATAGGGTTCAGCCGTTTTTATTGTCCTTATGACCTCTGGACTAAAGATATTTGCCTCTTCCACCAGCAACCCCAGCATGCTGTGCCAAGGCTACTAGCAAACTGAATTAAGGAGCAATTCTGGTTTGTATCTTGAGCTCCTTCTCAGAAAACAGAAATATTATCCATTAAATATTTTTTGCTGGAGGAAGCTAGAGAAGCAATTTCCAATGACTCTCCTTCCTCTTGCTGATGGGACTACTAATTGCACGAAGCAGGGTTGCTGTTTTTTTGGAGGGTGCACTGGGAATGGAAAATTAGTAAAAACAGATTTTTCCAATAATTATGAGATAATACACTAATAGCTAAAAGCAGCGTAATGGCCACAATACACTTCACTAAAGTGGATTAATATTTGAAAAACAAAATAAAAAAGGTTTATAGAGGTTTTACAGCCCAGCCACTGTATAGCCTAAGAAATAAAACATTTAACAATTGAAATCAATTTAAATTTTTTAAAATAATGCATGTAGCAAATAGCACAGGGTCAGAACTGGGTAGCCTGTTGATTAGATCCACAGATTCCTTATCTAAGATCCACAGATTCTGGATCCACAGATTCCTTATCTAAGAATTCAACCATCCACAGCTTGAAAATATCCCTCGCCCCTTGCAAAAAAATCCTCCAAAAGCTAATCTCGATGTTTTCATTTTATATAAGTATGTTCCCTCTATGATATTTTAAAAGGAGAGGAAAAGATTTGTTCATTGCATGCATCAAAGTGTTACCCTCAACTTAGCCACAGATCAAAGCAAAAACCATATTTTCACCTCCAAACCTGCCCTCAACATATGCTTTAGGTTGAGTTACACACAAGTGGCTGTGTCCGCACCTATGTTAGCTAGGCACATTGTAGTCCAAAACTATATCCCAAAGAATGTATCTTTTCCAATTTGTTTTCCACCAGAATTCTGCTCAATTTTAAATGATGATTACTGGTAAGATTCATACCACTCACCACCACCATCCAGGTAGGAGGAAAGACATTTAAAATCTCCCCCTTTGACTTATTATTATTATTATTATTATTATTATTATTATTATTATTATTCCCCATCCTCACCACTTTTTGTCTCACCTCTTTCTCTCTCTGTCTCGCTTTTTTTAAAAAAACCCAAAAGGCACTATAATTTTTAGTATTGGCATCCTAGCTAATTGTGTTTCTAGATCCATACTTATTGGTGACTATAAGGATTACCAATATTGTTATAATGATGAAGAAGACAAACTTTTAAACTGTGAGAGCTATTCAATATAGCAATTAAGGAGACTCCATCTTTGGAAGTCTTTATACAGATTGGATGGGCATCTTTCAGGAGTGCTTCAGTTGTGCTTTTTTACAGAGTAGGGGTTGAACTAGACCAGTGATTGTCAATCTGTGAGTCCCCAGGTGTTTTGACCTACAACTTCCAGAAATCCCAGCCAGTTTACTAGCTGTTAGGATTATTGGGAGTTGAAGGCCAAAACATCTGGAGACCCATAGAGTGAAAACCACTGAACTTGACAGTGTTTATGGGTCCTTTCAATCCTGTGATTCTATGATGAGAATATACATTTTATGCTTGATTGTAAAACAGAATTTTTTTAAAATGAAAAAATTCAAATTACCAATAATAATTTGCTTTGTTATTTCTGACAGTCTCATTGAATAATCAACAATGGAAGTCTTAGGTCAAGATGATATTAGTCCTTGAATAGACCCAGTGAATCAATAGAATATACCTACAAGTTGACTCACCATTCAACAACTGATCTAAGAGGTCCCTGTAGTTGATATTAGTCAACAAAATTCAGACCTGAAATTTTCATTACAATCACACACCATCTGGATTAATCTCCCTTCCCACTATCTCTCTCTTGTCTTTCCAGAGTGAATGCAGAGCAGAAGCTGGATGAAAGTCGAGCAGCCATTTTGTTACAGGAACCTACAGCACCTCTGAAGTACTCCCTACAGAGTATGAAGCAATATATTCTGTGGAATATGATATGAATTCTATGGATATGGATTGTACAAAATAGGTCACTTGATCATTCTTCACATTACCTTCCCGATATGCACAGTTGGGACTTCGGCATTATTAATTGGCTGCTTGGCTTCCACATTAAGAGAAATCCTTTCTCCTTCTGTATCCTGCAGCTGATTTTGGAATGTAGCTATTTTTGTCTTGATAAGTTTTTCTTTTGTTCATAGAATCATAGAATGAAAGAGTTGGAAGAGACCTCATGGGCCATCCAGTCCAACCCCCTGCCAAGAAGCAGGAATATTGCATTCAAATCACCCCTGACAGATGGCCATCCAGCCTCTGTTTAAAAGCTTCCAAAGAAGGAGCCTCCACCACACTCCAGGGCAGAGAGTTTCACTGCTGAACGGCTCTCACAGTCAGGAAGTTCTTCCTAATGTTCAGATGGAATCTCCTCTCTTGTAGTTTGAAGCCATTGTTCCGCGTCCTAGTCTCCAAGGAAGCAGAAAACAAGCTTGCTCCCTCCTCCCTGTGGCTTCCTCTCACATATTTATACATGGCTATCATATCTCCTCTCAGCCTTCTCTTCTTCAGGCTAAACATGCCCAGCCCCTTAAGCCTCTCCTCATAGGGCTTGTTCTCCAGACCCTTGATCATTTTAGTCGCCCTCCTCTGGACACATTCCAGCTTGTCAATATCTCTCTTGAATTGTGGTGCCCAGAATTGGACACAATATTCCAGGTGTGGTCTAACCAAGCAGAATAGAGGGGTAGCATTACTTCCCTAGATCTAGACACTATGCTCCTATTGATGCAGGCCAAAATCCCATTGGCTTTTTTTGCCGCCACATCACATTGTTGGCTCATGTTTAACTTGTTGTCCACGAGGACTCCAAGATATTTTTCACACGTACTGCTCTCAAGCCAGGCGTCCCCCATTCTGTATCTTTGCATTTTGTTTTTTCTGCCTAAGTGGAGTATCTTGCATTTGTCACTGTTGAACCTCATTTTGTTAGTTTTGGCCCATCTCTCTAATCTGTCAAGATCATTTTGAATTCCTGTCTTCTGGAGTATTGGCTATCCCTCCCAATTTGGTGTTGTCTGCAAACTTGATGATCATGCCTTCTAGCCCTTCATCTAAGTCATTAATAAAGATGTTGAACAGGACCGGGCCCAGGACGGAACCCTGAGGCACTCCACTTGTCACTTCTTTCCAAGATGAAGAGGAAGCATTAGTGAGCACTCTCTGTGTTCGTCCACTTAACCAATTACAGATCCACCTCACCGTAGTTTTGCCTAGCCCACATTGGACTAGTTTCCTTGCCAGAAGGTCATGGGGGACCTTGTCGAAGGCCTTACTGAAATCCAGGTACGCTACATCCACGGCATTCCCCGCATCTACCCAGCTTGTAGCTCTATCGAAGAAAGAGATCAGATTAGTCTGGCATGACTTGTTTTTGATAAATCCATGTTGACTATTAGCGATGACTGCATTTTTCTTCGATAGAGCTACAAGCTGGGTAGATGCGGGGAATGCCGTGGATGCTTGGCTGCTTCCATTCAGGGCTCATCACACCATGCTCTTACCATAGAAATAGTGCTGCAAATCCTTTTTCATTTTACCTATACTGTCAGTCTCTCTTTCCTTACCATCACCAGCATGGAAAGAGGTCTGTTTGTCCTCTTCCCAACCTGGTACCACAACACTTGTCCAAGACACCTTTCTCCTAGACTGGCTTTATCAGTTGAGAAAGATCCATGTGCGATTGTGTTTAGGATGCAGATTTCTTTTCATTTTGTTTATCAGATAGAATTGGAGAGGTTTGCCAGAACTATGTTCATTGTGAATGTTTGGGTTTTTTCCTCCATCGTTGGTTGTCTCTGCTTTGGCCTGAGGTTGACATTGTAATTCTCAACATCAACCATGAGAATGTGTAAATGTTTCTGCTAAAGAGATTTGACATTGCTATCATTTAAGACTGAGAAAGTGTGATTTTCTCAAGTGTGATTTTCTCAAGGTCACTCAATGGGTGTCCATGCTGAGTGGAGAGACCTTAGGGCAAGTCTATATTAAACTGAGGTCAGTCTGGAGCATTATGCTGCCTCAGCCCCACTGGACTGTCAGTGCTACTCCTTGCTGAGCCCAGAGCTCCATGTAAGCACTTGGCCAGTGCCTGTCCCATCTGTTAGTGACATAATGGGGCACACACATGACCTGCAAGGAGGAGCTAAATGTGCCTCCTTATTGCCAGTTGCAGCCAATCAAGCAGTCCAGACTGACACAAAGTCTACAGATCCTCTGGGGTTTCTGGAAAATTTTGGACTATCCCCCAATATTACCTAAAACTAGGCTAAGTGAGATTAAGACCCAAAAAACCCAGGATACTCACCAGAAGTTGCATACTTCTGGAAACATCCAGAACTAAATTTAAGGTCAAATCAATCAAAATATTTATTTCGGTCATTGACCAGCACAGGAAACAGTGTCACATTTCCAGACAAACCTGGCATGTTTGGTACATTAAAAATATAAATATAACTACTAAAAACACAATATGGGTGAGGGAGCAGAAGAGGGAACAGGGTAAAAACATACAATGCCCAGATCCATCACCAAATTGTAGATTCAGGGAAGAAGATTACTGGACACACAGTTGACTTTTGGAACTAGTCATTCCCTGGCGGATTTTGTATGCTGCTGCACAGAACTTTGCAACACTGTAGGTTGTAGCTGAATTAGTATTTGCAAGTAGCAGGGAGGTATAAAATTGTCCTGAATGACTTGGGTGCTTGTCTAACAGAGGTAAGATAAGCCTGGCACGGATATCCCTGTAGAAGAATTTAAGGTCAATTCTCGTTTTCTTCTTCATGTAGACCTGCCTCTAATGCAGGAGTCAAACTACTGCCATGCATTGTGTATGTATAGCTTGCTATCTGACTGCTATTTGTTCCACAATCTAGGACTGAATTATTCATTCACATATCTGATTTGCGGTGTCCATAAGTATTCCAATAGCACTTCCTTGTTGTTAAGTTCAGGATGAATTGTGATACAGTTCAACTGGTGGATATCATCTCCTACTAATCATGATGTCAGAGCAACAAGTTCAGCTTCAAACATCAGAGTACCATTGGTGGCTTTGCCAATATATTTGGTAAACTTGTTAAAATCATAGAGACCACAAGGTCCGTTCCATTCAACCCCATTCTTCATGAAGCAATACACATCCTGATAGATGGCCATCCGGTCTCTGTTTAAAATTTCCAGAGAAGGAGGCTTCACAACACCTCAAAGCAGCCTGTTACACAGGCAAACAGCTTCTATCATCTGGAAGTTCTCCCTTGTGTTTAGGTAGAATCTCTCAACCCTCTCTTCTCCAGTTTTCAGGGATTCTATGTTTCAGAAATTTAAAAGACAATAGTTCTGAAATGAAATCTGCCAGTTCTTTTAATATTCCTGTATTGCATATTTTGCTGTGGGTTTTTTTTTTTTGGCTGCATTTCTACTACTGCACAATCTGTGATGAAATCCATTATTTAAATCCTGGAATCCAGGTTGAGAGTATTGGGGCAAAAATATTGGGGGAAAGAAGCAACAGCCAGACTGAGGAGTTGATTGTAAACATCTTTGACATATAATGCTACTCCCTTCTCCTGTTTGATCTGTTTCTCAGGATTAGGTTATACTGCTCAGTTGTCACATCACAACATACCACATTAGATTGCTTATTATATAAAAAGTCTCCTTTGGGAGAAACAAAGCAAGGTATAAAGAAACAGAAGAAGAAGTCCATAAATGATTTCCAGTCTGTCAGAAAATATTCATTTGGCTTATCCTTTGGAACACATGTTAATTTGACAAACACTTGATCTTATGGATACTTACTTTTAACAACATATTTCAAATTGTAAAACACAATGAGATTTAAGAAACAGGCTGTCTTCATATTAGACATTACTGCTTAAACTGAAAATTTAGAGAATGTTTTCAAGAAGCACTCCCATTTTCACTTCTAAGCAATCTGTTGTTTTCCATCTATGACTAGGTGTCACTGTGGGATGAAACCCTTCTTTTGAATACAGGGAGGAAAATGGAATTAGAACTGAAACATACGAATAGATTTTTTTCAAGTCGGCTTTAATGAAATTTGAGCTGAAAACAAGGTAGGACATTCCCTTCATATATTTTCCTCGGTTATGTTATTCTCCATGACTTCTTTATCTCTTTTTCTCTCTGTCTCTCTGACTCCCTCTCCCTCTCTCATCCCACTCCTCCAAACCAGCAAACTCCCTTAGTCCTTCTAAACAAAATACATTGAATCATAGAATCATAGAATCAAAGAGTTGGAAGAGACCTCATGGGCCATCCAGTCCAACCCCCTGCCAAGAAGCAGGAATATTGCATTCAAATCACCCCTGACAGATGGCCATCCAGCCTCTGCTTAAAAGCTTCCAAAGAAGGAGCCTCCACCACACTCCGGGGCAGAGAGTTCCACTGCTGAACGGCTCTCACAGTCAGGAAGTTCTTCCTAATGTTCAGATGGAATCTCCTCTCTTGTAGTTTGAAGCCATTGTTCCGCGTCCTAGTCTCCAAGGAAGCAGAAAACAAGCTTGCTCCCTCCTCCCTGTGGCTTCCTCTCATTATTTTCAAAATCTACACTCTTACGATCATCTCTCTTCAGGTTTTTAGAGTCCTGTTTTACTTTTAACTAGGGGTGTGCACAATATTAACTTGGTGAGAATTCTGTATTTGGCTGATTCGGCTAAAATTGGCAGCTGAAACCCTGAAGCCCCTCTTCATTGATCAAATGTCCAGTTGGCCATTTATTGACATCAGCAGAAGTGCTAGCTTACCAAGGAGGCTTTTCACAGAGTGCTTAAGCTGGAGATAAAGTGACACCAATGACACCAAAAGCAGAGAACAAAACAAAACAGTGGTCTGTATTGACAACAACATAGCATTTCACAAGAATTCATGTGACTTCATGGATTATTGGCTAGTGTAGATCTAAACTAAATCAAACCTGTGGTGAAGTTCTACCAGAATGGATAATTCCCTCATGTGTTATGTCTCTAAACAGGATCTCTCTCTCTCTCTCAACCTCCCCCCGCCCCCTCTTTCCCACCCTCCCTCTCTCTGGACTTCGTAGGACAAGCAATTTCATTTTCACCATGAGAAGTGTACTTTCTCTGAACCATACAGACAAACATCAAAGCTCTCATGGAAATTTTTCAACTTGCATTGGCAGCAATGAAAAGGTTCTCAGTAGAGCTGAAGAGTTTTATTACCAATTGTTCAGTGTAGTATTCTTTTCCAAACCAGATTCAACTTCGCAGGTCATTTTCATCCTTATCATCTTTATAAGTATTGTAGGGATGGTGGGGAATGGATGTGTGATTTGGCTGCTTGGTTTCTGCATTAAGAGAAATAAATTCACCACCTATGTCTTGAACTTAGCCATTGCTGATTTTGTCACACTTATGGGTCTATCAGCTTTCAATGTTCTTGAGATCATTACTACATTCAATGTGGCAGGTATCCAAACAATGCAGTTGTTTTTTGGGCAATTTTTTAACTTTTCATATTGTGTGAGTCTATATCTTTTGACAGCCATTGGTGTGGAAAGATGTTTTTCCATTCTCTTTCCCATCTGGGTCCATTGTCAGCGGCCAAATCACCTTTCCACCACTGTTTCAGTCTTGTCCTGGATAGTGTCTGCCCTGATGACTGTAACTGAATTCTTGCTTCATTATTTTTGTTTAATAGAAACATGGATTATGTTTCTCAGGATACTTTTTGGTGTAAATCTCTTTATTTTCACACCAATCATGGTGGTCTCTACTCTAATCCTATTTATCAAGATGTCCTTTAGACATCAGCCAGGAAAGCTACATATTGTTATGCTGATAATTATCCTCTTCTTCATTATCACTACAGTTCCATATAGTACTTTTTTCTTGTTATGTATCATTGATTATAAATTTCATGTTATTGCGATTCCAGTTTATGACATGTTAATTGCTCTGAATAACAGCATTAACCCAATCATTTACTTCTTCATTGGGAATCAATGTAAATGTCAGTCCTGGGACTCCATCAAAGTTGTGTTCCAAAGAATTTTTAAAGATGAAATAAAGCATGCAGAAAGGAACTGAATATTAATAACATGGTGATAAAGCCAAGAAATTGACATTCCCATTCAAATGATCCAAACGGCTATTTATTTGGGTAGTGAGTCTTATTGAAAGCCTAGAATTCAAAAACAATTAAGGGAGCTCAATAACAGCAATGCCATAATACAAATTGATGCCATCCTAAAAGCCACTTACTGTATATACTTGTTTATCAACCTATTTTGTGTAGGAGAGCAAAGGTTTCCAGTAAAAAAATGATACACTTTACTATGACCCTTGGGTAAGTAAAAATGCAAAACAAGCCCAGGAATAAAATCACTGATGTCTCCCTGATGTCCTCAATATCCAATACTGATTATTCTATTTTAAATATAATTATCTCATGAATACTAGTATGCTTTTTAACAATATCCTTTATCCAGCCTTACATCGAGGTAGAAATATTAAAAGCCGATGCTTGTCTGAGAAAAAGTTAAAATGAAATGGAAGCAGGGCTAGTCAGAAGCAGAGTCAAAACCAGCTTGGTTTCAAGACTCCACATAGAGACCAACATCTGTGGATGCTTAAGTCTCCTAAAAACTGACCATATTGTTGTGGGGCAGGAACTAGGAATACCTAGAAAGAACAGCTCTTTGGAAATCTCTAGATCTATGATCTATTCTGATGGATTTTGACTATATAGAGTTGTGCTGGAGGACCTAGAGATTGATAGAGAGGTGTTTTCTCCATTGAACAGCTTGTCACCATATTTATTTATTTATTTATTACTGTGCTTGTATACCGCCGTTTCTCAGCCTAAATTGGCGACTCAACGCGGTTTACAACAGTACAACAAACAACAATATTCAGTTTAAAACCATAAAAAACAGCATACACAATACACAATATACAATATTGGCCCGTCAATAATAATCCATGCATCTCTTAACTAAAATCATAATCCAATTTCATCGTCCATATTACCAGTCTTTTAGTCATCAGTTCATTGTACCGAATTAACCGAATGCCTGTTCGAACATCCAGGTCTTCAATCTTTTTCGAAACACCATCAGCGAGGGGGCTGATCTTACCTCCATGGGAAGGGCGTTCCAAAGCCGAGGGGCCACCACAGAAAAGGCCCTGTCTCTCGTCCCCGCCAGCCGCACCTGTGAAGCAGGCGGGATAGAGAGCAGGGCCTCCCCAGAAGATCTTAGGGTCCTGGTGGGCTGATAGGCTGACTCAGTTCTGACTCAGTTCTGGCTTGGTTGATTGCATTGACCTCGCTGGCTTCATTGGCTGCATTATATTTTAATAATTATTTAAATGAATGTTAAATGTTGTTTATATGATTTCTGCTTAATATCTGTTACGTTAGATGTAGACTAAGTGTTCCTTATATATGTACTGGATCTGGCATTGAATGTTTGCCATCTTTTGTTGTAATCTGCCCTTAGTCGCCTTGAGGGTGGAATATAAATTAAGTTGTTGTTGTTATTATTATTATTATTATCTTGGGATTCCTATGATTGCTATAGGCAAACATGCAAAAGGAATAATTAGAACTAATACTGCCCAGATAACAAGACTTTTTTCCTTTTTGTTCCATGGTATAGTACCTAAAATCAATTATTTAAAGTGATTTTTTAAAAAATTCTGATATATCAAATATTCAAATACTGGATACAGTACAAAATAAAACACTATGAATACAAATACCATTAATTTTAGAGAATTAAGCATGGTGTAAATAATTGACAATTGTATTTTTGTGACCGTATAATTCATCCACTGTAAATTCAATTTGTCTTTTGTTGTCCAAGGGTAATTGTTTCACCAAGGTACAGGCTGATGTTCTAATGTGTCTAAAATTTTAGTTTTGAAATTTTTAACCTTGACTATCTTGGCTGCACAAGATAAACATGTACCATATCCATAACATGTCTATTTATGTCTGAATCTAATAATCTGTATATACACAATTAGTAAATATTTTGAACTTTCTAGAGACTACTTAAAAGGTTTTTTTCTAAATATTCAGCCAGAGTTGTCTTTTTGTTTCACCAGGCCAAATAATATAATGTCTAATGTGGTTTATATGCTTATTCAGTAAAGTTGAAGTTTCTGGCATGATAGTTCTCCAAGTGTCCTTTTCATTACGTGGGAGGGTACAATAATAACAATAATCTCTCACATAAGCTGATTTATATGAAGTCATTGGAGCAGAGGCCAATAATTAGGTATCCAGCATCTCTGTAAGTGGGATTACACTGGATCAGTTTCAATTGGTGAGTACTGTTGATGTGGGCAAGCTGCTGGGGCAAGTAAGGAGGACAACCTGCCTTTTGGAGGTCTGTCCATTTTCGCTGGTCGTCCAGTGGGAAGATGCAGTACATTCTCAAATACAACAAATTATTAATGCATCTTCAAGGAGGGAAACTTTCCATCCTGTTGAAAAGAAGCAGTCTTGGATGACTGCTTGGAGTTAGACCCATTTCAAACCGGCTTCAAAGAAGGATACGGAATTGAGATTGCAATGGTTACCTTAGTGGATGATCTTCATTTCAACATTGACAGGGGGTGTCCTTGTTGGTACATCTAGATTTCTCAGCGGCCTTCCATAGACAAAGGTATCCTTCTAGAAAGCCTGGAGCAGCTGGGAATTGGAGGCACTGTACTGCAGTGGTTCTAGTCATACCCCTCAGGCAGGTTCCAGATGATGATGCTTGGGGATAGCTGCTCCTCCAAAAAGGAGCTGTTATGTGGTGTTCCAGAAGGTGTCATTCTATCTCCAATGCACTTTAATATTTACATGAAGCCACTGGAAGAGATAATCCATAAGCATGGGGTGGGATGTTATCAACATGCTGATGATGCCCAAATATATTTCCCCATACCTTCAAAAACAACTTCAGCTACGGATGGCATGTCTCCTCTAAATGAATGCCTGGAGCAAGTAATGGGCTGGAAAAGGAAAAACAAATTGAAACTAAATTCAGACTAAACAGAGGTGCTTGCTATTAAGGGTCCTCATCCGGGGATAGAGGTGTGTCAACCTCTTCTGGATGACGTTACACTCCCCCTGAAAGACTGTGCCTGGGAGTACTCCTAGATCTTTCTCTCCAAATGTCAGTCCAGGTAGATGCCATGGTCAGGAGTGCTTACTATTAGATTCAGCTGATACACCAGCTGAGCCCCTTCCTAGATTTGGAGGACCTGAATATGGTAGAGCATGCACTGGTGACTTCAAGGCTGGATTTCTGCAATGCGCTTTACATTGGGCTACCCTTGTACCAAGTTCGGTAACTCCAGCTGGTTCGAAATACGGCAGCCAGATTGGTTACAGTAATATCTAGAATTGAGCATATCACACCTATCATAAAGTCACTCCACTGGCTGCCATTTGTTTATTTATTTATTTGAAACATTTATATCCCACCCTTTTCACTCCAAAGAAGACTCAGAGTGGTGAGTTAGTTTCTGGGCAAAGTATAAGGTGTTGGTTATGAGCTTTAAAGCCCTACATGGTTTGGGTCCAGGTTGCCTAAAGAATTACCTTCTCCCATACAATCTACCCCACACACTTCGATCTGCTCCAACCAGCCAGAACCCGACTGACAACCACCACCCAGAGGGCCTTTTCATCGGCCACCAACCAAATGTGGAGTGACCTGCAGGAAGAACTCTGATAGCTAAATGAGCTGTCGGACTTTTAAAACCATGTAAAGATCTATCTCTTTGGGCAGGCCTATCCAGACAGTCTTTAAAGATGAATTTTAAGTGTCCTTTGTTTGATCTCTTGTGTGTGTTTAGTGTATATTTTGTAGAGATATGATTTAGTGTGTAACTTTTAATTTCACTTTTTAAAATGTGGAGGTACATTTTAGTGTGTGTGTTTGTAGTGTTTTGGCTGTGCTTATGTATTTTAACTGTTTTGTAACACCTCGAGCCATGAGGAGAGGTGGGTAAGAAATAAAATATTATTATTATTATTATTATTATTATTATTATTATTATTATTATTATGTATACATTTCTTAACCCCTCTCCTCATGGCTCAAATAGAGCATTCTGGAGATAAAAATCACAGTGATTAAAAGGAGCAGATTTCTGGATTTGCCCTCCTTAGGAAAAGTAATATGGAGCTTCAATGAACTCATTTATGCAGGTTATATGAGTTCGTTTGAGGGTAAATGGTTGAATGGACTCTATGACATGGTACATTCATCATACATGAGAAGAAAGCCTCTTGGCATAACTTTGTCCTACATTAAGAAATGTTGCAGGATAGTCTGGCCCTTCAGAGAAGCTCCAAAGTTGTTTTGGATCAATGTAAATATTACATGGGGTCAACACTGACCATAGAATACAGTATGGAACTGAATTATACAGCATTGTAGATCCCACTTCAGACTTGTTTGGTGGAAACTATGCAGAGGGCCTTCCCAGTCTTTGGACCTCTCTCCTTGGATCAGTGTGGTCAACCCCCATACATTCTACCCCTCGTATTTTTTTACAAATTGGGCACTTGTCTACACTGACTAGAAAAAAAAAATTGGGCTGGAAGTCATTCCTAGATGTCCACCTCATGTCTAAGGACTTCCAGTCCATAATGCTGATTAAGTTTGGCCATTCAACTGGGCCAAAGGGGTTCAGGCTGACTTGATAATCCTGAATCTGCTCTTGCTGCTAACATGATGAATGTATTCTGAGGAGCATCGAAAACGATTCTCAGAATCTGGAGCTGGTTCAAAGCAGCAATGCTTCAGATGGACCTTGACTTTTGTGGCTTTTGATGAGTCCCAGGATAAGCCGATAGAGACCTCCACTCTATAGTGGATTATGAGGATGCACTGCTAGTATGCCATGGCATTATATTGTATCTAGTGAAGTTGAAAGCACAGCAATACATGAGATGTGAATATGATCAAGGGAACAAGAGGGCAAGCCCTATGAAGAGCAGCTTAAAGAGCTAGGCATGTTTAGACTGAAGAAGAGAAGGCTGAAAGAAGATATGATAGCCATGTATAAATATGTGAGAGGAAGTCACAGGGATGAAGGAGCAAACTTGTTTTCTGCTTCCCCGGAGACTAGGACACCGAACAATGGCTTCAAACTACAAGAAAGGAGATTCCATCTGAACATTAGGAAGAACTTCCTGACTGTGAGAGCTGTTCAGCAGTGGAAATCTCTGCGCCAGAGTGTGGTGGAGGCTCCTTCTTTGGAGGCTTTTAAACAGAGGCAGGAGGTTGGACCGGATGGCCCATGAGGACTCTTCCAACTCTATAATTCTATGATTCTATAATAGGCCTGAAGACCAGCTGAATCCTCAAGATCAGAGAACTGTTGCTCTTGTTATAATTGTCCCTGTTGTTGCTGTTGTCATATTTTTGCATGATAAACCTTTGGTTACCCATCACATAGAATCATAGAATCATAGAGTTGGGAGAGACCTCCTGGGCCACCCAGTCCAACCCCCTGCCAAGAAGCAGGACAATTGCATTCAAAGCACCCCCAACATCCAGGCTCTGTTTAAAAGCTTCCAAAAAAGGAGCCTCCACCACACTCCGAGGCAGAGAGTTCCACTGCTGAACGACTCTCACAGTCAGGAATTCTTCCTAATGTTCAGATGGAATCTCCTTTCTTGTAGTTTGAAGCCATTGCTCCGTTGCGTCCTAGTCTCCAGGGCAGCAGAAAACAAGCTTGCTCCCTCCTCCCTATGACTTCCTCTCACATATTTATACATGGCTATCATGTCTCCTCTCAGCCTTTTCTTCTTCAGGCTAAACATGGCCAGCTCTTTAAGTCGCTCATCATAGGGCTTGTTCTCCAGACCCTTTATCTCATCATCCATTATATATGCTTATTATACACTTTAAGGTACACTTTCCTTTGTTATAATACTAAGGGGAAATATACTTCATGGTACATAGTGTCATTGTTCATATATAAAATTTCCTCCTTCTCTGAAGCTAAAATGGAAAAAAATTAAAAAGAAAAAGAAATGGTGTTTTTAAAAGTGTCTGTTGATCTCCTTGTTATGAAACAAATTAATTTGTCAATTTCTGCTATCTTGAAAGTAAATCTGTATTCATCCATTATTCAGTGTAAGATATTATTGCTGCTGAAATCATTTAGTGTAAAATTTTAAAGCTCAGTTAATAGCTGGTTCATTCAGTAGCTGCAATAAAATAAACTTTGATCATGTTCTACTCTGGTTTTCAAAATTTCTTACACCAAATTCTTGATCACTTACCAGAAGTTTTTCACTTTGCAACATGTGCATTGCATGAGATGAAAAGTCCATTGATGGACTTCACATTTCCAGCATAAATTATTAACATCTTTATACAACGGCCTAGTTTCGATGTAATCAAAATGACAAGGAAATAGCTGAGAAAGCTACAAATCAAAAGATGATAAAGCTACACAAAAGAAACACTTGAAACCCATCTCTAAGAGGAGGCTCAAATTTCTTATTGCATCTAAACTTTGGAAAACAACTTCCTTCCTTTATCATTTAAACCCCCAGGACTAAGAAATGCCTGACAATGACTATGTTTTGTCTCGCTGAACAAAGAAAGATTCATTTTTTTCTCTTTTTGCCCATCTATAACTAGGTTTCTCTGTTGAACAAACTCTTTCTTTTGAAAACGAGGAAAAATAACTCAGAAGTGCATCTCAAATATCTGACTGGGATTTTTTCAAGCCTGCTATTGTGTATTTCAAAGCATTTGAACTGGAAACAAGGTAAGACATTCTTTCCTTATTTCTCTTGACTATCTTTTCTTCTCCATAGACTTTAACATTCTGCCTCTTTCTTCTCTCCCTCCCAATTATCTTCACAATCTGCCACAAATGCAACCTCCCTTAATCATCAGATTCAGATAAAGAGGAATTGCCTAAGTAAGTCAGCAATACCAGAATGGATAATCCTTTCATGTATTCTGTCTCCAAACAGGATCCCCATTTTGACCATGAGAAGTGTACTTTCTCTGAACCATACAGGCAAACAGCAAAATTATCCTGGAAATTATTCAACTTGCAGTGGCAACTATGAAAAGGTTCACAATGAAGCTGAATGGTTTTATGACCAATTGTTCACTATAACATTCTTATCCAAACCCAATTCAACTGCACAGATCATTTTCATCCTTATAATCTTTATAAGTATTGTAGGGATGGTGGGGAATGGGTATGTGATTTGGCTGCTTGGTTTCTGCATTAAGAGAAATAATTTCACCACCTATATCTTGAACTTAGCCATTGCTGATTTTGGTATGCTTATGAGTGGTGCTGCATTAGGTGTCTCTGTGGTGATTGCTGTACCAAGGGAAAATTATGTCATAGCAATACAAGGAGTTTTGGGGCAATTAAATATATTCACATATAATGTGGGTTTATATCTTCTGACAGTCATTGGTGTGGAAAGGTGTCTTTCCATTCTCTTTCCCATCTGGGTCCGTTGTCACCGGCCAAAGCACCTTTCCACCATTGTATCAGTCCTGTTCTGGAGTGTGTCTGCCCTGTTTACTATAATTCAATTCTTGCTTCGTTATTTTTGTTTACTAAATCTTTGGATTATGTTCATCAGGATTATTTCTGGTTTAAATCTCTTTATCTTCACACCAATCATGGTGGTCTCTACTCTGATCCTATTTCTCAAGATGTGCTTTCGACATCAGCCAGGAAAGCTTCACGCCATTATGGTGATAATTCTCTTCTTCTTCATTATCACCGCTCTTCCATTTGGCTTTCTTTTCTTCTTTTCCGTCATTGATTATAATTTTCACGTCATTGCAATTCCAATTTATACCCTTTTAACTATTGTAAACAGCAGCATTAATCCAATTATTTACTTTTTTGTTGGGAATCAGTGCAAATGTAGATCCTGGGACTCCACCAAAGTTGTGTTCCACAGAGTTTTTAAAGATGAAACAGAACTTACAGAAGTCAGTTGAATATTAGTAACATATTCAAATTCGCATGCTCCTAAAAGCCATTCATTTGGATACTAAGTCTTACTGAAATTCTAGATTTTAAATACAATAACACAACGAAGACAGACCATTCATCTCTATCTGTTTTTCTATCCATCTGTATATGTAATTATTCCATCAAACTTATCAATGTGCACACATGTAATGAAACAACCAAGTCAGATAAGCCTCACATAAATAAACAAAAACATTTTGAACCTTCTACTATTTAAAATATTTTCAAAAAATGCAACCACTGACTACTTTTTTTTTCACCTAGCCAAATATTAGAATTTATAATGTTTGTATTCATAATCTTATTAATTACATCGGTTATTTCTCACATGATACTTCTCCAAGTGTCATTGTTTTGGATACACTGGGAGCCAATAAATAAATAATAAATAAATAATAATAATAAATAATTGTATAGCTCTCTTTTTAAAGCCATTACAATCCTAAAATACTCTGGAAAGGCCCTTTTCTTTCTCCTACTGTCTTCTCAGGCTCATTTGGTGGGAACTAGGGAGAGGGCCTTCTTGATGGCTGCTCCTAGGAACTCTCTCCCTAGACCAGTGGTTCTCAACCTGTGGGTCCCCAGATGTTTTTGGCCTTCAACTCCCAGAAATCCTAACAGCTATTAAATTGGCTGGGATTTCTGGGAGCTGTAGGTCAGAACACCTGGGGACTCACAGGTTGAGAAGCACTGCCCTAGACCATAATGGATTAGTGTCTAACTACTGCTGATTCTTACTGTCCATGCTAGGAGTGCGGCTAACTCCTATGTCTATAAATCAGGGGCTTGTCTGTACTGGCCAGAAATCCTGAGCCAGGCCAGAAATCACTCCTGATTCTGCTGACAGTGACCCTATCCAGTAATGTGGGATAGTTCATACCAGTCAACTGTCCACACAGCTAGAACCTCCAAATCCTTTTTTCCTTGGTTCTGCAGTACAGGGAAAAAGGAGATGGCACTTACCTGGACTTTACCTTGTTACCACATTAGCCAAGTGGCAAAGATCCAGACAGCTCCTGGCCATCACTAGGTGCCTTTGTTGGCAGCAGTGAAGGTACCCATGCAATCTGGAGTTAGGACCCAGGTAGCAATCCCTACTTTCCCCAGGTCACAGGGGCACATTTGGCGATGCCAGTTAAGGATGTCTTTACTTGTTCTGAGTACATTTGACCATTCAGTTGGACTGAACTAGACTCTGTTCCTACTGCTGATACAGTTCTGGGGCAAAGCAGGCTTATGGTTCCTCAGAATCCCAGGCTCATTTGGAGCAACAATAATTTGATCTTGCAGCTTGTCTAGGTGAGGCCCAGGACAAGCTGATATATACCTCCCCAATAACTTGCCTTATGATACATACTGCTTGCATGCCTTAATATGGTATTGCATCTAATCTACTGAAATGAAGAGCATATAGCAGCATGAAATGAGAATAAAATAGACGTAACCACACTGTTGTTGTTTCTGAACATGAACCATGAGGGCCAAAGTATGTCCCAAGAACAGACTGTTGTTGCTACTGCTGTACTTTCCATTGTTGTTCTCCTTGTTTTAGGCATGCTAAAACCAGTAATATGCAGGTTGTGCCATTAGTTCATCATTCATGATATATGTTTATTATACTCTCTACTTCTTTGTGATCATACAAATAGCATATTGATTGTAATGAACTTGGCCTTTGTGGACATGTGGATGAATCTATAATAATGCTTATGATCTATGTTCTCTGTTGTTGAATATTTATGTGCATTGTAATGCTACAGTTTGTTCAATTGTTTTTTTTTTGTTGTTGCATGATCTTTTGTAATGATTACTATAATACAGGTACTTGTGTTATATTTTAAAATTTGAAATTTATCTCTTTCTTTGATATGATAAAATTAAAAGCAGACGCAGGTTTTAATAACCACTTCATAAGAATATCACTATTGCAGATATTGACTAAATATTAGTATGCAGTGGTTCTAAGATGCCCTTTTGGTAGTGCTCTTCTCACAAAGTTTTGTTCAGAAGAGAAATTTCTTTAGAAGGAAATTGACTGACTTATAAAGATTTCTAAACACTAGATAATGACCAACATAAGTTTATTTATTTATTTGGAACATTTATACCCTGTCCTTTCTCGTCCTCCAAGGAGGGACTCAGGATGACTATCAACAGGCAACAATTTGATCCCGAAACAATAAAACACATCATTAAATACAATCAAATGCATAAAAAATAAATATCGATATACATTAAAACAGTTCACCAGGTTAAAATGTCATCCAAATCCATCCAAATTGTGGTCCAATAAAATCTCATAATTGCTAGTAAAATCAATCTAATCTCCAAACACTTGCTCCCATAACCAGGATTTGGGTTTCTTCCAGAAGTTCAAGAGGGAAAGAGCAGATCTAACTTCCTTAAGCAGGGAGTTCCACAGCCAAGGGGCTACCGTGGAGAATACCCTGTCTCTCGTCCCCACCAAACGTGACTGCGATGGCAGTAGGACCGAGAGCAGGGCCTCCCCGGATGATTTTAAAGTCCTTGATGGTTGAAGATGAAAGATGAGTTAATGATGTAGAGTTACTAGATGCAATGGGTTGCTCATAGACAAACTAAAATGGATAAAACATGTTCACATTTGAAACTGTTGAACTAGAAACCAAGAACTTACTGTACTCAGGTAAAGACCATGTGATTGCTAAAACTGCTGTTAACATATGAAATACAGGAAGACCAAATAAAAGATTATTTGTTTAAATGAGCTCAAAATATAGATATACAAATACAGTTGTATAATGGGAGAAGGTGTGAGCATAAAGTTTAAAGTTTACTTTGAGTCATGCTCTGAGAGACAATCTAAGATATTAAGGTAGCTTCAGTTAACGCTGGAAAGGTGAGCACAATGTTGGAACGTGTTATTATATATGGTGCTCGTGACACTCATGTCTCTTTCTCTCTAGCAGAGTCTTGTTCTACTCACACTTCTGGGCATACTTTGCTCCTTGGCTTTTGTGCAGGATGAGATGATGGTGGTGTGGAGGAACTTGCCACAATTCGATTGTCATGGACTGATCACTACCTGGTCAGGCCTAGACTCACTAGGATTTCATACTTCCTCAGGGGTGGGGAAACAATTGCTTCTGGGCATCGCCTCTCACTGAGCAGAGCCAAATCATCCCCTTGGTTTTCATTTATAGAATTAGATAGCTGGGAATAAAATCTCTTGATAGCATCTTTAAATCATTTTTATTTTATTTTAACATAAACTATTTAATCCATAAGCATAGTAATATACACTCAAATAAAGAAATAACAGAGAAATAAAATAAAAAACCAAGTTCTTGTTATGTGTTTTTGAGATAAATTCAAACTGTGAACATTTCAAGAGATACATTTGAAAGTCATGTTCAATTTAGTGATATATCAGAGTTTGTTGCCATTTTTCATTGAGTACGTCTGCTTCTTTCTCTGTCATTTTTTTCCGTGATCTTGCCTCGTCGTATCTGATTCTTTCCTTCCTTTGTCTCCTGAGAGTAGGTCAAATCTTCCAAAGTGTTTTTTTTGTATATATATATTTCAGAACTCTTTAGCTTTCATGACTGAGATCAAGGCAAATCTTCTTTGTTTAAAGTTTAGTGAAATCTTCTGGATTTTTCCCAACAAAGTGGGATGCCTTGATGTTTTCTTTGTTAGAAATATGTAATCTTTTCTCTATCCCAAAATTGTCACTGGGGTCACATGTACACCGGCAAACTCACCTCAAGCCTTACATTTGACACACAGCTACTTCTGAGAAGGATCCATCTTTTTATGGCCTTAACCTAACTTTGATAAGATCTAAGTATGTAGTGATGAAAAGGCATGAGATGAGGTAGGTCAAAGTTGGGGTATAGACCTGGCATAATGGTTAATTAGAACTAAGTAAAGTCAGGGACAAATCTGGAGTGACCTCAGGTGCTTTCACTAAATGGAGAACTGGATGGGGTCCAATTTGTCCCAATCAGTAACATCACCTGGCAGAAATCGCAACCTGCCTGTTCCCCATCAGAACAAAACAAAGGAGTAAAGGAACCCCTCATTGTTGGTGATATATCTGGATGGTCATTTCTAACCTCAGCGGAAGGGTTCTTATGGCAAGTAGGCATTCCACAGGGTACCTAGGCTAGTGAAGTTGTGACAGTGATACCCAAAACAGAGGTTCAGAAAGTGGAGCCAATGTAGTGCCCAATGCAAGTGGCCTCTATCATCATTGGTCTTGGACCAGATTGTAGCATAATGCTCTTGTCTAGCCTTGGATTAAATGTCTACTGTAAACATGTCCTGGGATGAGTTGGGTAAAAGATATGGTGCAGCTGTACCATAATGGATAATTCCCTCATATATTCTGTCTCCAAACAGGATCATCTTTCTCCCTCTCTGTACCTCTTTCTGTGGACTTCATCAGACAAGCAATTTCATTTTGACCATGGGAAGCATACTTTTTCAGAACCATACAGACAAGCAACAAAGCTATCGTGGAAATTTCTCAACTTGTAGTGACAGCCACAATAAAGCTCATTGGTTCTATGACCAAGTCTTCAGTATAGTATTCGTATCCAAACCTGATTTAACTCTCCAGGTCATTTTTATTCTTACCATCCTTATAAGCCTCATAGGGATGGTGGGGAATGGAAGTGTTATTTGGATGCTTGTTTTCTGCATTAAGAAAAATAATTTCACTATCTATGTCTTGAACCTAGCCATTGCTGATTTTGGTACACTTATGGGTATATCTGCTTTCAATTTAATTACTGTATTAAAAATGACTGGGATCCAAAAAATACACTGGTTTTTCTGGCAATTCATTATTTTCCCATATTCTGTGGGTTTATATCTTCTGACAGCCATTGGTGTAGAGAGATGTCTTTCCATTCTCTTCCCCATATGGGTCCGTTGTCACCGGCCAAAATATATTTCCATCATGGTATCAGTCCTGTTCTGGATAGCATCTGCCCTGTTTACTCTAACTGAATTCCTGCTTCATCATTTTTGCTTATTAGTTCCTTGGATTACACTTTTAAGGATCGTTTTCAGTGTAAATCTCTTTATCTTCACACCAGTCATGGTGGTTTCCACTCTGATCCTGTTTATCAAGATGTGCTTTCGACATCAGTCAGGAAAGCTCCACACCATTATGCTAATCATTCTCATCTTCTTCATTATCACTAGTATTCCGTATGGCATTTTCTTCTTCTTGTCCGTCATTGATTATGATTTTCACGTTATCGCAATTCCAATTTATAACCTGTTAGTTACTTTGAACAGCAGCATTAACCCAATCATTTACTTTTTTGTTGGGAATCGGTGCAACTGTAAATCCTGGGAATCCATCAAAGTTGTGTTTCAAAATGTTTTTAAAGATGAAGCAGAACTTACAGAAGTAGGTTGAATATTAATGACCTAATAAGGAAACAAGGAAACAGAAATTCCAATTCAGATTATGCTAAAAATCACATATTTGGATAAAGAGTCTTATTGAAATCATAGAATGTAAAAACCGAAAAGGAGTGAAGGCAACTCAATGGTGTTTGTAGTTTTGAGAAGTCAAATTTTGACCAAAAAACCTAGTATTTGAGTAACTGATCTCATTAAAATCCTAGAATATAAAAACAGTGGGAAAGATGGGAAGAGAGAAGACAGCCCAACCATAGAAATATCAAGAACTGGCTTCCTTTTAGCCAGTTCTTATGTCTAAGATTTTGAAATAATACTAACTAATAATAATACTATAAAATGTAATACTGAAAGTCAGTTTTGAGGGATGGTATATTTTATCGTAGTCCATGATTGAAGAAAAGGAGAAAGGGAAAGGAAATCTGAAAGCAGATTGACAGTTGATATGCAAAAACCTAAAATGAAGAATGAAACCATTAGCATAAAATACAAAACAAACCCATTAATAAATAAGTGATATGTTTATCAAGTTCCAAATATCCAGTATCAACATCTCTGTTTTCCAAACTTAATTCCTTTTCTCTTGTGAATCCCTCTTCTTGCTAAAGACAACCAAACAGAAGAAACCATGAAAGCAATGCCAACACAAACTTGTCTTTTGAATTGGGATTTAAAATTGGGCTAAAATGATGCAAATGACATGTTTTTGAAGTTGTATCCAGTTCCTTTCTCTCCCATTCTCAAACGCAATTGTCAGCTGTACCAAAATAAAAGCTGTGCTCTTCTGTTAAAGTAATATGGAAGACATTGATTTTAAATGTAAAGCTTTTAACCTTGGCTGTGTTGGGTGTTTTAGCACTAACAACATCTTTACCAGTTTGCTACAAAAGAAATTATTGCTTGTATTTGGAAAAGTTCAACCTTCATTTTCAAAATAACATGAATGGAAATTGAAATAGTGCCACAAATACTATGTACAAGTTTAAAATGTACCAGACCCATAACAGAATTGTAGAAAATTCAGTTGGAATGCAGTTTTACGTGCAGTTTTTGGAATGCAGTTTTACGTGCAGTTTTTGGAATGCAGTTTTACGTGATGGAGAATATTTGTGTATAATTTTATTTTTTTATTATTTTTAGTGCCATGGATGTGTAAATTATTGATACTATAGTAACTAATAATACTTTAACCATATCAGTATATCTATTACATAATGCTATGCAGCTATTTTTATCCATGCATATTTATATCTGTATTTATCTGTACCTATCTGTCTGTCTTACCATCTATGTCTATTATCTATTTATTTAAAATGTACAATGTGCCCATGTACAATGGAAAACCAGATCAGGTAATCTTCATATTAGTAAACAAAAACATTTTGAACTTTCTATAGACTACTTGTTCCAAAATGCATCCAGAGATAACGTTTTTTCATTAAGCCAAACAATATAATGTATAATGTTGTCCATATGCTATTCAGTAAAGTTGATGTTTTTGGCATTATATTTCTACAAGTGTCATTGTCTTTGCATGGGGAGTGAATAGAACTCTGGGGATATCAAGGGGCAAAAGGCACAGTGATGAAGAAGAGTTTTGAGCATCAGCTCCTAAATATGTAAGATGACTTAGTGTTTCTAAATCCCAACAAGACACATGTCGGGGGGGAAAAAGGGAAAAAAAGCAATGTATTGTCGAAGGCTTTCATAGCCGGGATCACTGAGTTGTTGTAGGTTTTTTCAGGCTATATGGCCATGTTCTAAAGGCATTCTCTCCTGACGTTTCGCCTGCATCTATGGCAAGCATCCTGAGGAAGCTCACTACCTCTGAGGATGCTTGCCATAGATGCAGGCGAAACGTCAGGAGAGAATGCTTCTAGACCATGGCCATATAGCCCGAAAAAACCTACAACAACCCTATGTGTATATAGCTTGGGCCCAGGCTATTTAAAGGAGAATATCTCTCTTTATAAGCCCATTAGAATTCTAAGAGAGAGGGCTTCCTCTCTCTCCCACCATTTTCCCAGCTTTGTTTGGTGGGATCAATGGAAAGGGCCTTCTTGATGGCTGCTGTGGTCATATTGAATTGGTGTCCAACTTAAGTTGATGCTTACTGTCCACACTGGACAGTGTGGAAACGCCTATATTCTCTACAAACCAGAGGAACATCTACCCTGTCCAAAAATCCAGAAGTGAACCAGAAGTCGCTCTTGGATATGCTCACAGTGTCAAACAACTTCCAGTTTATAACATTTTTACTTCACTTTAGCAGACATCAGGGAATGATCCACATATTTTTTTTTCTATTTTGAATTGGTTGTCTTGGCCAGCAGCTCCTAGCACTTCCAGCAGATACTCCCAGGCATTCTAAGCCCTGGCCCCTCTAGAGCAGTGGTTCTCAACCTGTGGGTCCCCAGGTGTTTTGGCCTACAACTCCCAGAAATCCCAGCCAGTTTACCAGCTGTTAGGATTTCTGGGAGATGAAGGCAAAAACATCTGGGGACCCACAGGTTGAGAACCACTGCTCTGGAGGAAGCTGAGGAAGGACATCTGAGGAAGCTAACAAAGGGTTAACCCCTGGAGCATAGAACGGGCAAGGTATCACAGGTCTCAGGAATTAGCTGCAAAAGGATGATTAAGCAAGTATCCGCTGAAATCCTAAGATAAAAAGGCTTCAGACTCTGAGTGACAGACAACATTGTGATTCTTGTCTTGGAACCTCATGTCCTTTGGTTTGTATTCAAGGATGCCTGGCTTTTGACTTCTGGACCCTGACAAATGGCATTCCTGATTCTGGACTGTGATCTTGGCTTTCATTATTTTCTTGTCTTGAAACCTTCATCTGGTGCCCATCAGTTTAATAATTATGGATTCCTGACTTCTGGTTCCTGACAAATGGCATATCTGACCCTGGAGTGTGATCTTGGCTATCCTTTGCCTGGCTTGAATTTAATTACTGTTACTCTTGTCATTGAACCGGACCCTACTCCTTCTCAGTTTCATATTCAAGGACTGCTGGTGTTGTTCTGCTACTACTATTATCATTATTATTATGTTTATAGCCCACTTTATCTCTCCACAAGGAGACTCAAAGTGGCTTACATTAAAAGCATTTCAATACAATTTAAACATACAAACATTAAAACAGAATTAAACATCAATTGTATTTTTTAAAATCACAGTTAAAATCCATAAAAACATATTCAAAGCTAAATGCCACAGCACCCCCTGACTTCATCTTAAAAACCCTTTTCTTTAAAAGTCTGCCTGAATAAAAGGGTTTTAGCCTGCCACTGGAAGGATAGCAAGGAGGGAACCATTCTGGCTTCCTTGGGCAGGGAGTTTCAGAGTTTAGGGGCAGCCACTGAGAAGGTTTTCTCTCTCATCCTCAACAACCAAGCTTGAGATGGTGATGGGACCAAGAAAAGTGCCTCTACTGAAGATCTCAGGGCCTGGGCAGGTTTGCATAAGGAGATCCAATCAGCCAAATGGGATGGACCTGATCCATCTAGGGCTTTAAAGGTCATAACCAGAACTTTGAATTGTTTGTTTCCAGGCACTTTGAATTGTGCCTGGAAACAAACAGGCAGCCTGTGGAGATGCTCCAGCAGGAGGGTGTCTGCTCCCTGTAGTCAGCCCCAGTGAGCAATCTGGCTGCAGCTCTTTGGACCAGCTGGAGTTTCCAACCACTCTTCATAGGCAGCCCCACGTAAAGCATGTTACAATAATTCAGGCAGGATGTAACTAAGGCGTGTATCACCGTACCCAGGTCTGAGTGCTTTTGGTACACAAGTTTTAATTGTGCAAAAGCTCTCCTGGCCACCGCCAACATCTTGGCCTCCAGGTTCAGGTATGACTTTTTAAATATAGGTCTCACAACTGCCTCCATTAGGCAAGTTGGAATTTTGCATTTTTCCAAGGAAACATTGACAACCATCTTCACCCACTCCGCAAGGCCACTTCTGTCTTGTTTGATAAGCCAGGAAGGACGGGGATCTACAATAAATGTGGCAGCTGTTACCTATCCAAGGGTGCTGTCCACATCCTCAGGCTGCACAAACTGAAAGGTATCCATCAACACTAGATAAACAGGAGGAGCCAAAGTTACATCCATTGGAATGGTATCAATGACAGCATCCAAGTTGGAACAGTTCAGAGTGACTTTATCTGAAAAGTGCTGTGCAAATTCTCTGCAGTGGGCTGTTGAATGGCTTTCCACTTCAGGTAATCTGACACCTGGCTGTAGCATCTTTGACTTTTCCCCAGCATCTCTATTCATCCAGAAATCCAGCGAGTTCCTGACTTATCAGTAGTTCCTTTACTGACATCAGTGAAGGCATCTGTGCAACCTGGTGTAAGGAGAGATATTGCTTCAATCTTTTCCACAGGTCACACAAGCACCTTTCTTTGTTTCAGGTAAGAGTGCCTTTGCTGATGCCAGGAAGGTGTGACTATTCAACAGTTCAAAAATTGGTTTGGCCCAATTGCACATAGGTCAGGGGCAGAGCATTCCTCCTTGGAATCCAGGGCCAGTTAAAGGAGCAGTGCTTCAGACTAGCCATGGATTTTGCAGCTTGAGTGTGTGTTTTTTTTCTTCCTTACATTAACTTTTTGTTTGAATTGTCTCTAATATGCTGTCTGATCACACACAAACTCCCTTCCTCTCATTTCAATAATCTCTTATTTTGCTGTAACCTTCCTGAACCAAGAAAGCCTTTTTTCTGTTTTCTGTCTACAACAAGGTGTTCTTTCTGGATGAACCCATTCTTTGGAAAACGGAGGAAAATGGAAATAAAATATGAAACATCTGAATTGATTTTAATGAGGACTGCTCTAATGTACTTTTGAGGATTTGAACTGAAAACAAGGTAGGACAGTCTATCAATATTTTCTTTGGTTATGTTTCTTATCCATAGACTCTCACATTCTGTGTGTCTTATTGTCTTCACACTTCTACGCAACAGCCACTTGCCATCATCCTTCTCCTAAACAAAATGTATTGTATTCATTTCAAGTTTGACATCCCTTAAAATCGAACTTATCCATGTTTTAAAGTTCTGCTTTGGTTTTAACTGTTTGAAATATTAGGAATCAACATAATTCAATGCACAATTTGAGCTTTAGCTGAGTTTAATGAATACCCCTGAAACAGATCCAGGAGTAAAGAGGGCATCACCCTTGGAGAAACTAAAACATCTACTCCTACATTGAAGGAGAACTCTGTGTGCCTAGAAAAAAAAACAGAGTCTCTGGAGAGTTAGATAACCATCAGCTGGGTAATTGGAAGATGATCGATCTGTCATAACCCTTGACAGGTCCCCTTTTAGGGTTATTATGACATGGTTGTGCTCATGCAACACTAGAGTGGGTTTAACGCATAAGGGCAGCACTAGTATAAAGTAAATATATCAAATGAAAATGAATAAATGTGATATGTCCCCAATATCCATGATACTGCTATTCAAATTGTCATTTAGCCATATCTGACAAAAAAAAATGTTCACTCTAGGGATTTTATAGGTTCTCCAATATGACTCTATTTTCTTTGTAGGTGAGATTTCTTTATCTCAATAGAGTTTGGTACTATTTTGAATATCTACTCATAGTATGTAGCCGTATCTCCAAGGGACACGAGGTGGTACTGTATTCAGCAGTCCTTTTACATTTGGTTTATGCCATGCACAAAAATGCGAAGCCTGCATCCCTGCTTTCATTCCTGATTTCTCTACAACAATGCAGAATCTACCTGTGTGTGTGTTTGTGTGTGTTTGTATGTACATACATACAGGGAGTCCCAAAATTATGAGCAACTCCATAACAAGGGTTTTTAACAGCAGAAAAAAAGGTAAAACTCCCTAGAGTGTTTATTAGGGGGGGGGGGGTGTTCTGTCTGAGCACCTCTTTCTGACCTTATGATAACTGGACTTTGAAAATTTTGGCTTGTGGAAAACAAGGCTTGGGGTTAAAGCTTCAGTGGAGACACCTTTTCCCATGATAACTCTTTCAGGAATGAATTTCCCTTCCTGGGGATAGATTCACTTCACTCTCTGCTGTCTCACCCCCTTTCTTAACTATGAGTCATTTGTAAGCCGAATGTTTGTAAATCTGGGACTGCCTGCATATTGATTTATCTTATTCCCATTTAGCAGGAGACAGAAATGAGACTCAAAGTCATAACATTCCAGTTACAACTTTCCAGTTTGTTCAAAGTGGGCTATGTGTGGAGATTAAACAAATTTTAATCATGCTGCAAAGTACACTTGTTCTGGTAAACAAACAAGAAAGCTAGCATGAAGACTATAAAATATATAGTCAAACACATAGAAATGTTATAAATGATCTTGTGTATGACCATCAGTTGTTCTGTCGTCCTATATTCTACTCCACATATGCAAGATATGACTCAGCTTTATTGATCACCAGGAGGAAAAGTAGATTTGATGTCAGCACAGTAGTGAATCTGCTCTAGCTTTTCCAAAAGAACCAGTAAATTATTTTTGTGAACAGAGTGCAGCCCATTGGTACCTCCTTTAAGGTTTGGACAAAAACTTGGATTCCCTACTCCGTTGAATAGTAGCCAACAGCTTCCCCTGAAAATTATGGCATTGCACAGGACTCAACTTGTTGCATGTGGCTGCCCCAATGGGTCATCTGGGACCTGTCAGGAACATAACGATCTGGAATGGCTCTGGATTAAGTGACCAATGAAGACATATCTGTGATAATGAGGTTGATCAAACCTGTCATTTGGCTATACTAGAATAGATAATTACCTAATGTATTCTTTCTCCAAACAGGACCATCTCTCCCTACCCCTCCCTATCTCTCTTTCTATCTGCACTTCATCTGAGAAGCACCTTCATTTTGACCATGGGATGCACTCTTTCTCTGAACAATACAGACAAACAACAAAACTATCATGGAAATTATTCATATTGCCTTGGCAGCTATAGGAATGTTCTCAATAAATCTGAAATGTTTTATGAGCAATTGTTCAGTATAACATTCTTATCCACAGGCAACTCAACTTGGCACATGATTTTTGTCCTAACCATCCTTATTAGCATTGTGGGGATGGTGGGAAATGGAAGTGTGATTTGGCTGCTTGGCTTCCATGTTAAGAGAAATAATTTCACCATCTATGTCTTAAACTTAGCTATCACTGATTTCTGTATGCTTATGGGTGTAAATGCTTTAGCTGTTGTAATGATCACTCATCCACCAAAAGAATGTGAAGTCATTCCAATAGTGTGGCTTTTGGGGCAATTCAGTAGCTTCACATATAATGTGGGTTTATATCTTCTAACAGCCATTAGTGTGGAAAGGTGCCTTTCCATTCTTTTTCCCATCTGGGTCCGTTGTCACCGGCCAAAGCACCTTTCCACCATTGTATCACTGCTGCTATGGATAGTGTCTGCCCTGATTACTGTAACTGAATTCTTGCTTCATTATTTATGCTTACTAGACTTTTGGCTTACATGTGTCAGAATTGTGTCTGGTATAAACCTCTTTCTCTTCACACCAGTCATGGTGGTCTCAACTCTGATCCTATTTATCAAGATGTGCTTTAGACATCAGCTAGGAAAGCTGCACAACATGCTGCTGATAGTTCTCCTTTTCTTCATTATCACTGCTGTTCCAATTAGCACTTTTTTCTTCATCTCCATCATTGATTATAATTTTCATGCTATTGCCCTTCCAATTTTTCACCTTTTAGTTGTTTTGAACAGCAGCATCAACCCAATTATTTACTTTTTTGTTGGGAATCAGTGCAACTGTACAACCTGGGGCTCCAGTAAAGTTGTCTTCCAACGGGTTTTTAAAGATGAAGCAGAGCTTACAGAAGTAGATTGAATATTAATGACCTAATAATGAAACAAGGGAACTCAAATTTAAATTCAGATTATCTTAAAATTAATTATTAGGACCGTGAGTCTTGTTGAAATCATAGAATGTAAAAACAGACAATAGCAAAAACAACCCAATGGTGTTAATAGCTTTGGGAAGTCAATTTTGGACAAAACAAATTCTAGTTTGAGATGCAAGTATATGCAGTGTTTGAGTAATTGATCTCATTAAAATCCTGGAAATAAAAAAAAACAGGGGGAAGAGCCCAACCATAGAAATTCAAAGAACTGACTTTCTTTTGGTTATGTTCTTTGTGCCATATTTGTCTAAACCAGGCATGGGCAAACTAAGGCCTGAGGGCCACATGTGGCCCCCTGGTTACTTATCTCATGCCCTCCACATTGTCCCTGTTCTCTGAGTATAAAGACTTGGTGGCTCGCCTCATCCTTATGTGGAAAGGACAAGGGAGCACTCTCAGCCACCTCATCTCTCATTCTCCTGGGATAAGGACAGGCTGAGCGGCTCTGTCCTTATGCCAAGAGGACAGACTGAGAAAGGCACAGAGTGGCTGAGAGCCTTCTGGAGCACTCTCAGACTTCACCTGTCTCGCCCTCCTGGCAAAATGCTAAGAGGACAGCCCAGAGAGAGGATCGGGGCAGTCGCCCCATTTCTCGTTTTCCTCTTGGCATAAGGATGGGGTGAGCAACCCCATTCTTATGCTAGGAGGACAACCTGAGAATGTCCTGGGTCCTGCCCCACCTCCTCCCAGTCCCACCCTCTCACGGGCCCTCTCCCTCTTGGACCTTTCCCACCGCAGGCATGTTCCCTCATCTGGGCCCTGCGCGTCTCTGCCTGCCCCTACTCTTGATCGGACCCACAATGCAGTCCCAAGGCAAAAAAGTTTGCCCATGCCTGGTCTAAATGATTGAAATAATTATAATAAATAGTATAAAATGTAATACTTGAAAAATATAATTGCATGACATTGAATGTGTTAAATGCTTGTATTTACTGTTGCTACATATGTTGATATATATCATTAGTATTTTTGATTTCATCATTATCTTATTAAACTCCCAGATACAATTGAAATACTAGAACTTGAAATGAGAGGAGGAATGAGGACAGGCGAAGTATTGCAGTAAAATATATAGATTGTCATGATCTTAAAAATCATATTTGAAGGATGATGTGTTTTATCAAAGTTCCCAATTGTAGAGAAAGAGAACAACCCAACAATAGAGATGAAAAGATGTGACTATAAGCGTTAACATGAAGAATGAAACTTTTGGCATAAAATACAAAACACACCCAGTAATAAATCACGAATCAGTGCTATCATCCTCGAGTTCCAAATAACAATTACAGTATCATTATCTCTGTGTTGTCGAAGGCTTTCATGGCCGGAATCACTGGGTTGCTCTGAGTTTTTGGGCCTGTATGGCCATGGTCCAGTAGAAGACGGAACATAAAACATGACCATACAGGCCAAAAAACTCACAGCAACTCATCAGTATCTCTGTTTTAGACTCAGTACCTTATGCACTTTTCCACACTTGATTCCTATTCCTATGAGAATCCTTATCATTCCTAAAGGCTAGCATTCAGAAGTAGTCATTGAGCAATGCTAATGCAACCCTCTTCACAGGAAGCTGAATTTTTATTCACAGAATCAGGAAAACAAACTATTTCTGTGTTGAATTGGGATTTAAACTGGTGTTTATCATTTCCAGTATCATCTTTCTGAAATGTCAGTTTTTTCATTTTGCACTTTCCATTTCTCAAAGAACTTGTCGGCTTATCAAAGCGATAGCTACTGTTTTTCTGTTAATATGCAAGGCACTGGATTCCATTTCAAGGTTTTAGCTTTGGCTGTGTGGGGCGGTTTAGCATTAGAAATATCTTTATTAATTTGCTACAAAATAAATGATTGCTTGTGTTTTGAAAAATTCAAACTGCATTTTTAAAATAGCATGTGTGGATATTAAAATAGTGCAACAAATACTATGTACAAGTTAAAAATGGACCAGATTCATAACAGAATGATAGAAAATGCAATTTTGTGCTCATTTTGGAATGCAATTTTTCATGTTGTAACACACTTATGTATAATTTTCTTTTGGGTTGTTTTGTCAGTGTCATGTATGTCTAAATACTTGATACCTTGGTAATTTAAAATATTGTAATTATAACATATAATTATATCTGTTACATAATCATATGCATTTCTGCTTTTGTATTGGTATAAAATACAAAACACAAGCAGTAATATTTCATCTGTATATTTATCTATATGTTATCTGTTTATTCAAAATATACAGTGTGAATGTGTACAACAAAACAACCAGGTCAGATAACCATTAGTAACAAAAATATTTGAATTTTCCACAGACTACTTAAAGGATTGTTCTAAATGGGCACCCAGAGATAATTAAGCCAAACAATATAATTTAAAATGTTGTCAATATTCTTGTTCAATAAAGCTGATTTTCTAACATGATGTTTCTCCAAGTGTCATTGTCATTACATTGGGAGTGAATACGACTCTGGAGACACCAGGACTCAATGGGAACAGTGATAAATGGAAGGACTGAGCATCAGCTTTTGAATTTGTCTTCCTTGGGCTTCTAAATCCCATCCAGACAAATGGTTAAAAAAATCAAAGTTTGGGTGATTACCTATATAGCTCTATATAGGTTGGGCCCAGGCTATTTAAAGGAAAATATCTATCTATCTAAGAGAGAGATTTTCCTCTCTCTCCCACCATCTTCCCAACTTCGTTTGGTGGGAAATAGTGAGGGGGCCGTCTTGGTGGCTGCTCTAGATTGTATTAGACTAGTATCCACTATCCAAGTTATGTTGATGTTTAAATCGCTTTGAGTCCCCCCAGGGTTGAGAAAGTCGGTATATAAATACTGTAAATAAATAATAATAAATAATAAATATTGCTCTTGTTAGAAAACCTCTATGCTCTCTACAAACCCAACGTGTGCCTACCCTGTCCAAAAATCCAGAAGTAGAGCAGAAGTTTCTCCTGGACATACGCACAATGAGTTATGAGTTCTGCAGGCCTGCTTTAAACAAAGAAAAGTCAGGGGAAAGGACAGTAAGAATTCTGGTTCTTCTGCCATGGTGACAGTTGTATTGGATCCAGTTTTTTCCCAGTCAGTTATCCATATGACAACCATTTCCTATCCCCATGTGATCAACATAGAAGAGGACAGGAATCCATCCTTGTTGATCACATGTCCAAATGGCCAATTCTGACATCAGCAGAAGTGGTGTCACACCTCACCTGCTTCTCACAGAGCTCCTAGGCTAGTGAGGAAGTGGCATCAGTGGCACTGTAAACAGAGGACAAGACAGTGAGGTCGATTCAGGGCTGACCTGACTGGCCTATATGGAGAATAACATGGAATTGCACAGGATTCAACTTGTTGCATGTGGCTGCCATCACGGGCCATACTGACATCAGCAAAGGCATCTGTGCAACCTGGGATAAGGAGAGATATTGCTTTAATCCTTTCCACAGGTCAAATGAGCACCTTTCCTGATGCCAGAAAGGTGTGACCTTTCAACAGTTCCAAAATCAGTTTGGCCCTATTGTACACAGGTCAGGGGCAGGGCATACCTCCTTGGAAACCAGAACCAGTTGAAGGAGTAGTGCTTTAGACTAGTCAGGGATTTTGCAGCTTGCATAGAAGAGCCTCAGAACAAACTGATAGACACCTCCACTCAACTATACCTTAAGAAGATATACTGCCAGTGTGCCAGGCATGATACTATCAAACAGAGAGCACACAAAGACAGAAAAGGTATTCTAGAATGTGTCCCAAAAATCACACTGCTGTTGAGATATTTTTCATTATTGTTATTTTTGTGTTTGATTTTTGGCATGCGTAAAAGGAGCCTGGCCATGATAATTGCGCTGTAATCTTGCTGAACCAAGAAAGACTTTTTTTCTCTGTTGTTTTCCATCTACAACAAGGTGTCTCTGCTGGATGAACCCATTCTTTGGAAAACAGGGAGGAAAAATGGAAATAAGATATGAAGCATCTGAATGGATTTTTGTGAGGCCTGCTCTAATGTATTTTTGAGGATTTGAACTGAAAACAAGGTAGGTCAATTTATCCATATTTTCCTTGGCTATCTTTTCTTCTCCATAAACTCTCATGTTCTGTGCGTGTCTTATTGTCTGCACACCCCTACCCAACAGCCATTTGCCTTCATCCTTCTCCTAAACAAACTGTATTGTATTCATTTCAAAATTCATATCCCTTAAAAATCAAACCTTTCCAGGTTTTAAAGTCCTGCATTGGTTTTAACTGCTTGAAATGTTAAGAATCAACAGAGTTCAATGCTCAATTTGAGCTTTAACTGAGTCTAATGCACACACCTAAAGCAGATCTAGAAGTGGAGAGAGCACCACCCTTAGAGAAACTAAAACATCTACTCCTACATTGAAGGAGGACTCAATGTCTCCAAAAACACAGAGTATCTGGAGAGTTAGATAACCATCAGCTGTGTAATTGAAAGATGAGAGATCTGCCATAACCTCTGACAGGTCTCCTTTTAGGACTACTGTGACTCGTTCTTGATTGTGCTCAAAACCATAATATCACACTAACTAGATTGATAGATTGATAGTTTTCCAATATGTTCAGAGTGGGCTAAGTGTGGAGATTATCTTAACAAATGCTATCATTATAATCATGCTGCAAAGCACACTTGTTCTGGTATACAAACAAGAAAGCTAGCATGAATACTACGCAATTTGTAGACTAAAAACATAGAAATGTCATAAATCATCTTGTGTGTGACCACCAGTGGTTCTGTCTTATATTCTACTCCACATATGCAAGGTATGACTCAGCTTTATTGATCACCAGGAGGAAGGGGAGATTTGATTTCAGCACGTTAGTGAATCTGCTCTAGCTATTCCAAGATAACCAGGGAACTACCCAGTGAATTTTTGTGTGGATGGAGTGCAGCCCATTGCTACCTCATTTAAGGTTTGGACTGAAACTTGGATTCCCTACTCCATTGAATAGTAGTCAACAGCTTCCCTAAAAGTTATGGTATTGTACCTGATTCAACATCTTGCATGTGGATGCCCCAGTGGGTCATCCAGGATCTGTCAGGAACATAATGATCTGGAATGGCTCTGGATTAAGTGACCAATGAAGACATATCTGTGATAATGAGGCTAAACAAACCTGTCATATGGCTATACTAAAATATATAATTTCCTCATGTATTCTTTTTCCAAACAGGACAATCTCTCCCTACCTCTACCTTTCTCTCTCTCTTTCTTTCTATCTGCACTTTCTCTGAAAAGCATCTTCGTTTTGACCATGGGAAGCACTCTTTCTCTGAACAGTACAGACAAACAACAAAACTATCATGGGAATTATTCAACTTGCAGTGGCAACTTTACAAATGTTCTCAATAAAGCTGAATTGTTTTACAACCATTTTTCCAGTATAGCATTCTTATCCGCAGGCAACTTAACTTGGCTCGTGATTTTTGCCCTAACCATCCTTATTAGCATTGTGGGGATGGTAGGAAATGGAAGTGTGATTTGGCTGCTTGGCTTCCATGTTAAGAAAAATAATTTCACCGTCTATGTCTTGAACTTAGCTATCACTGATTTTGCTCTGATTATGAGTGTAAATACTTGGGGTATATTAATGATCACTCATACATCAAAAAAATGTGATGTCATTAAAATAGCGTTGCTTTTGGGGCAATTCAGTAGCTTCACATATAATGTGGGTTTATATCTTCTAACAGCCATTAGTGTGGAAAGGTGCCTTTCCATTCTTTTTCCCATCTGGGTCCGTTGTCACCGGCCAAAGCACCTTTCCACCATTGTATCACTGCTGTTCTGGATAGTGTCTGCCCTGATTACTGGAGCTGAATTCTTGCTTCAATATTTTTGTTTACTAGACTTTTGGCTTACATCTGTCAGGATTGAGTCTGGTATAAACCTCTTTCTCTTCACACCAGTCATGGTGATCTCAACTCTAATCCTATTTATCAAGATGTGCTTTAGATACCAGTCAGGAAAGCTGCACAACATTCTGCTGATAATTCTCCTTTTCTTCATTATCACTGCAGTTCCAATGAGCATTTTTTTCTTCTTCTCCATCATTGATTATAATTTTAATTCTATTGCCGTTCCAATTTATATACTTTTAGGTGTTCTGAATAGCAGCCTCAACCCAGTTATTTACTTTTTTGTTGGGAATCAGTGCACCTGTCGATCCTGGGAATCAATGAAAGTTGTATTCCAAAGGGTTTTTAAAGATGAAACAGAGCTTAACGGATAGGTTGAATATTAATGACCTAATAATGAAACAAGGAAACTGAAATTTAAATTTATGTTATCCAATAAATATATTATTAGGATAGTGAGTCTTGTTGGAACCATTGGTAGTTTAATTTTCCACAATGGAATAGTTTTGGTACTGTTTTTTTAAATGTATACGGTTGTGCTAATCGTTTTATGTCAATGTTTTAAACGTCTACTCTGTATGTTCTGTGTTAGTAAATGAATGCTTTGCCTATGTGGAAACCACCCTGAGTCCCCTCAGGGAGATAGAGCAGTATACAAATAAAGGATTATTATTATTATTAGAATGTAAAAACAGATGATAATGGTGTTAATAGCTTTGGGAAGTCTATTTTGGACAAAACAAATTCTAGTTTTATTTGCAATTATATGCAGTTTTTGAGTAATTGATCTCATAAAAATCCTGGAATATAAAAAACAGGGGGAGGAGAGAGGGAGGTGCAACCATAGGAATTCAAAGAACTGACTTTCTGTTGGATTCTGTTCTTTGTGCCATATATGTCTAAATGACTGAAATAAAATAAATAGTATAAAATGTAATACTTAAACAATATAATTGTATGACATCAAACATATTATATGGTGTATTTATTGTCACTATATACGCTAATACTGTGTATATATTTAGTATTTTTGTTATCATCATTGCCTCATTAAACTCCCAGAATATAATTGAAATCCTAGACCATAAAAAGAGAGAAGGAATGAGGGCAGGCTAATGATTGCAGTAAAATATATAAATTGGCATGATCTTAAAAGTCATTTTTAAGGGATTGTGTGTTTTATCTAAGGACCCTTCCACACAGATGAATAAAATCCCACTGGAATCTTTGGTAGTGTGGACTCAGATAACCCAGTTCGCAGCAGATATTGTGGGATTTCCTGCCTTGATATTCTGGGTTATATGGCTGTGTGGAAGGGCCCAAACTTACCGCTTGTAGAGAAAGATAAACAAACCAGTCCAACAGTAGAGATGTAAAGATGTGACTATAAGGGATAACATGAAGAATGAAACTTTTGGCATAAAATACAAAACACAGCCAGTAATAAATCACAAATCAGTGCTATCATCCTTGAGTTCCAAATAACAATTACAGTATCAATATCTCTGTGTTGTCAAATGCTTTCATGGCCAGAATCACTGGGTCACTGTGAGTTTTTCGGGCTGTATGGCCATGTTCTAGTAGAAGATGGAACATAAACATAACATGAACATGAACATAACATAACATGAACATAAAGCCTGAAAAACTCACAGAACCCATCAACAACTCTGTTTTAGACTCAATACCATATGAACTTTTCCACACTTGATTCCTATTCCCTTGGGAATCCTAATAATTTCTAAAGGCTAGCATACAGAAGTAGTCATTGAGCAATGCTAATGCAACCCTCTTCACAGGAAGCTGAATTTTTATTCACAGAATCGGGAAAACAAACTATTTCTGTGTTAAATTGGGATTTAAACTGGTGTTTATCATTTCCAGTATCATCTTTCTGAAATGTCAGTTTTTTCATTTTGTACTTTCCATTTCTCAAAGAACTTGTCGGCTTATCAAAGCGATAGCTACTGTTTTTCTGTTAATATGCAGGGCACTGGATTCCATTTCAAGGTTTTAGCTTTGGCTGTGTGGGGCGGTTTAGCATTAGAAATATCTTTATTAATTTGCTACAAAATAAATGATTGCTTGTGTTTTGAAAAATTCAAACTGCATTTTTAAAATAGCATGTGTGGATATTAAAATAGTGCAACAAATACTATGTACAAGTTAAAAATGGACCAGATTCATAACAGAATGATAGAAAATGCAATTTTGTGCTCTTTTTGGAATGCAATTTTTCATGTTGTAACACACTTATGTATAATTTTCTTTTGGGTTGTTCTGTCAGTGTCATGTATGTCTAAATACTTGATACCTTGGTAATTAAAATATTGTAATTATACCATATAATTACCATATAATTATATATGTTACATAATCATATGCATTTCTGCTTTTGTATTGGTATAAAATACAAAACACAAGCAGTAATATTTCATCTGTATATTTATCTATATGTTACCTGTTTATTCAAAATATACAATGTGAACGTGTACAATAAAACAACCAGATCAAATAAGCTTCATATTAGTAAACAAAAACATTTTGAACTTTCCACAGACTACTTAAAGGATTGTTCTAAAAAAGCACCCAGAAATATTTTTTTATTAAGCTAACAATATAATTTAAAATGTTGTTGATATGCTTGTTCAATAAAGCTGATGTTTCTAACATGATGTTTCTCCAAGTGTCATTGTCCTTGCATTGGGAGTGAATAGTACTCTGTGGACACCAAGACTCAATGGCAACAGTGGTAAATTGAAGTACTGAGCATCAGCTTTTGAATTTGACCTCCTTGGTTTTCTAAATCCCAACCAGACATATGGTTAAAAAATCAAAGTTCGGGTGATTACCTATAGCCCTGTATAGCTTGGGCCCAGGCTATTTAAAGGAAAATACATATCTCCCTTTAGAATTCTAAGAGAGAGACTTTCCTCTCTCTCCTACCACCTTCTCAACTTCTTTTGGTGGGAAGTAGGGAGGGGGCCATTTTGGTGGCTGCTCTATATCATATTGGGCTATTATCCAACTTATGTTGATGTCTATGCTCTCTAAAAACCAGAGGTATGCCTACCCTGTCCAAAAATCCAGACGTAGAGCAGAAGTTGCTCCAGGGCATATACAAAATAAGTTGTGAGTTGTGCAGGCCTCACCAATAAAAGTCACGGAAAGGACAGTAAGAATTTGGTTCTTCTGTCATGGTGACAACTGGATTGGATCCAATTTTTCCCAATCAGTTATCCATATGGCAAAAGATGCACCATTTCCTATTCCCATGCGATCAACATAGAATAGGACAGAAATCCCTCCTTGTTGATGACATGTTCACATGGCCTATTCTGACATCAGCAGAAGTGGTGTCACACCTCACATGCTTCTCACAGAGCTCTTAGGCTAGTGTGGAAGTGGTATCAGTGGCTTTGTAAACAGAGGACGAGACAGTGGGGTCGATTCAGGGCTGACCTGGCTGGCCTATATGGTGAATAACATGGAATTGCACAGGATTCAACTTGTTGCGTGTGGCTGCCCTCATGGGTCATACTGACATCAGTGAAGGCATCTGTGCAACCTGTGATAAGGAGAGATATTGCTTCAATCCTTTCTACGGGTCACATGAGCACCTTTCCTGGTTTCAGGTAAGGGTGCTTTTACTGATGCCAGGAAGGTGTGACTGTTCAACAGTTGCAAAATCAGTTTGTCCTGATTGTACACAGGTCAGGGGCAGAGCATACCTCCTTGGAAACCAGGACTAGTTGAAGGAGCAGTGCTTTAGACTAGTCAGGGATTTTGCAGCTTGCATAGAAGAGCCCCAGAACAAAGTGAAGACACTTCCACTCAACTGTAGCTTAAGAGGATATACTGCCAGTGTGCCATGGCATAATACTATCAAATAGAGAGCACACAAAGGCACAAAAGGTGTTCTAGAATGTGTCCCAAAAATCACACTGTTTTTGATATACTTTTCATTATTGTTATTTTTGTAATTGATTTTTGGCATGCGTAAAAGGAGCTTGGCCATGATGATTTTGCTGTGATATTCCTGAACCAAGAAAGACTTTCTCTGTGTTGTTTTCCATCTACAACAAGGTGTCTCTGCTGGATGAACCCATTCTTTGGAAAACAGGGAGGAAAAATGGAAATAAGATATGAAACATCTGAATGGATTTTTGTGATGCCTGCTGTAATGTAATTTTGAGGATTTGAACTAAAAACAAGGTAGGTCAGTCTATCCATATTTTCCCCAACTAGTTTTTCTTCTCCATAAACTCTCACATTCTGTGTGTGTCCTATTGTCTCCACACCCCTATGCAACAGCCACTTGCTTTCATCCTTTTCCCAAACAAAATGTATTGTATTTATTTCAAAATTGACATCCCTTAAAATCAAACCTTTCCAGGTTTTTAAGTGCTGCATTGGTTTTAACTGTTTGAAATATTAAGAAGCAACGAGTTCAATGCTCAATTTGAGCTTTAGCTGAGTCTAATACACACACCTGAGGCAGATCCAGGAGAAGAGGAGGCACCACCCTTAGAGAAACTAAAACATCTACTCCTACATTGAAAGAGGACTCTGTGTGTCTGCAAAAACACAGAGTCTCTGGAGAGTTTGGTAATCATCAGTTGTGTAATTGAAAGATGAGTGATCTACCATAATCTCTGACAGGTCTTCTTTTAGCACTACTATGACTCCTTCTTGGTTGTGGTCATGCAACACTAGAAAGTTGCTAAAGTAGATGAGTGGCCTTAATGCATAAGGGCAGCACCAGTATAAAGTAAATGTATCAAATGATAATTAATAAAATGCAGCATGTCCCCACTATCCATGATACTGCTATTTAATTTGCCTTGCCATATCTGACAAAAAATGTTCACTCTAGACATTTTACAGGTTCTCCAATATGACTTTAAGCTCTGTGTAGGTCAGATTTCCTTTAACTCAATAGAGTTTGGTATTGTTTTGAATATCCACACCAAGCCTGTAGGTGTATCTCCAAGGGTCAAGAGGTGGTCTACTGTCTAACCCCCCCCCCTCCAACTATGACTCCTTTGTAAGTCAGATGTTTACCTGTATATTGATTAATCTTATTATTTTGTTTCTTCCCATTTAGCAAGAAACAGAAATGTGACTCAAAGCCATAAAATCACACTAACTAGATTGATAGATTGATAGTTATCTAATATGTTCAAAGTGGGCTAAGGGTGGAGATTATGTAAACAAATGGTATTGTTTTAATCATGCTGCAAAAAACACTTGTTCTGGTACACAACCAAAAACGTTAGCATGAAGACTATGCAATTTGTGGTCTAAAAATACAGAAATGTCATACATGATCTTATGTGTGACCACCAGTTGTTCTGTCTTATATTCTACTCCACATATGTAAGACATGATGCACCTTTATGGATCACCAGGAGGAAGGGTAGATTTGATGTCAGCACGCTAGTGAATCTGCTCTGGCTATTCCAAGAGAACCAGGGAACTATCTAGTTTTTTGTTTTGTTTTTGTTTTTTTGTGGCAGCTCATTGCTACCTCCTTTAAGGGTTGGGCTGAAACTTGGATTCACTACATTGAGTAGTAGCCAACAGCTTCCCTGAAAGTTATGGTATTGCACAAGATTCAACTTCTTGCATGTGGATGCCCCAGTGGGTCATCCAGGATCTGTCAGGAACATAATGATCTGGAATGGCTCTGGATTAAGTGACCAATGAAGACATATCTGTGATAATGAGGCTAAACAAACCTGTCATATGGCTATACTAAAATATATAATTTCCTCATGTATTCTTTTTCCAAACAGGACAATCTCTCCCTACCTCTACCTTTCTCTCTCTCTTTCTTTCTATCTGCACTTTCTCTGAAAAGCATCTTCGTTTTGACCATGGGAAGCACTCTTTCTCTGAACAGTACAGACAAACAACAAAACTATCATGGGAATTATTCAACTTGCAGTGGCAACTTTACAAATGTTCTCAATAAAGCTGAATTGTTTTACGACCATTTTTCCAGTATAGCATTCTTATCCGCAGGCAACTTAACTTGGCTCGTGATTTTTGCCCTAACCATCCTTATTAGCCCTGTGGGGATGGTGGGAAATGGAAGTGTGATTTGGCTGCTTGGCTTCCATGTTAAGAAAAATAATTTCACCGTCTATGTCTTGAACTTAGCTATCACTGATTTTGCTCTGATTATGAGTGTAAATACTTCAGGGGTATATTAATGATCACTCATACATCAAAAAAATGTGATGTCATTAAAATAGCGTTGCTTTTGGGGCAATTCAGTAGCTTCACATATAATGTGGGTTTATATCTTCTAACAGCCATTAGTGTGGAAAGGTGCCTTTCCATTCTTTTTCCCATCTGGGTCCGTTGTCACCGGCCAAAGCACCTTTCCACCATTGTATCACTGCTGTTCTGGATAGTGTCTGCCCTGATTACTGGAGCTGAATTCTTGCTTCAATATTTTTGTTTACTAGACTTTTGGCTTACAACTGTCAGGACTGTGTCTGGTATAAACCTCTTTCTTTTCACACCAGTCATGGTGATCTCAACTCTAATCCTATTTATCAAGATGTGCTTTAGATACCAGTCAGGAAAGCTGCACAACATTCTGCTGATAATTCTCCTTTTCTTCATTATCACTGCAGTTCCAATGAGCATTTTTTTCTTCTTCTCCATCATTGATTATAATTTTAATTCTATTGCCGTTCCAATTTATATACTTTTAGGTGTTCTGAATAGCAGCCTCAACCCAGTTATTTACTTTTTTGTTGGGAATCAGTGCACCTGTCAATCCTGGGAATCAATGAAAGTTGTATTCCAAAGGGTTTTTAAAGATGAAACAGAGCTTAACGGATAGGTTGAATATTAATGACCTAATAATGAAACAAGGAAACTGAAATTTAAATTTATGTTATCCAATAAATATATTATTAGGATAGTGAGTCTTGTTGGAACCATTGGTAGTTTAATTTTCCACAATGGAATAGTTTTGGTACTGTTTTTTTAAATGTATACGGTTGTGCTAATAGTTTTATGTCAATGTTTTAAACGTCTACTCTGTATGTTCTGTGTTAGTAAATGAATGCTTTGCCTATGTGGAAACCACCCTGAGTCCCCTCAGGGAGATAGAGCAGTATACAAATAAAGGATTATTATTATTATTAGAATGTAAAAACAGAAGATAATGGTGTTAATAGCTTTGGGAAGTCTATTTTGGACAAAACAAATTCTAGTTTTATTTGCAATTATATGAGTAATTGATCTCATCAAAATCCTGGAATATAAATAACGGGGAGGAGAGAGAGCAGTGCAACCATAGGAATTCAAAGACCTGCTTTTCTGCTGGATTATGTTCTATGTGCCATATATGTCTAAATGATTGAAATAATTAAAATAAATAGTATAAAATATAATACTTAAACAATATAATTGTATGACATCAAACATATTATATGGTGTATTTATTGTCACTATATACGCTAATACTGTGTATATATTTAGTATTTTTGTTATCATCATTGCCTCATTAAACTCCCAGAATATAATTGAAATCCTAGACCATAAAAAGAGAGAAGGAATGAGGGCAGGCTAATGATTGCAGTAAAATATATAAATTGGCATGATCTTAAAAGTCATTTTTAAGGGACTGGTGTGTTTTATCTAAGGGCCCTTCCACACAGCTGAGTATCAATATCTCTGTGTTGTTGAAGGCTTTTATGGCCAGAATCACTGGCCTGCTGTGAGTTTTTTGGCCTGTATGGCTATGTTCCAGTAGTAGATGGAACATAGAACATGAACATAAAGTCTGAAAACCTCACAGAAACCCATCAACAACTCTGTTTTAGACTCAGTACCTTATGTACTTTTCCACACTTTAAAAGGCTAGCATACAGAAGAGGGGAGCTGAATTTTTATTCATAGGATCGGAGGGAAAAAACTATTTCTATTTTGAGTTTGGATTTACACTGATGTTTATCATTTCCAGTGCCATCTTTTGAAGTCATATCCAGTTTCTCCATTTTGTAATTTCCATTTCCCAAAGAAATTGTCAGCTTTATCAAAGAGATAGCTCCTATTCTGCTGTTAAAATGCAGTGCGCTGGATCTAATGTTAAGGCTTTAGCCTTGGCTGTGTTGGATGGTTTAGCATTATCAATATCTTTATTGTATTGTCGAAGGCTTTCATGGCCGGAATCACTGGGTTGTTGTAGGTTTTTCCGGGCTATATGGCCATGTTCTGGAGGCAATTTTTCTCCTGACGTTTCACCTGCATCTATGGCAAGCATCCTCAGAGGTAGTACAATGTACAATGTACAATGTACAAGTTAAAATGAACCAGACCCATAACAGAATGATAGAAAATGCAGTTTTCTGCTGATTTTGGAATACAATTTTCATGTTGGAGCATATTTATGTATAATTTTCTTTTGGGTGGCTTTGTCAGTGTCATGTATGTCTGAATTATTGATACTTTGGTAATTAAAAATACTATAATTATACCATATAATTATCATATAATTATATTGATTACATAATCATATGCATTTCTACTTTTTATTGGTATAGATTTGTATTTCATCTGTATATTTATCTATATGTTACTTGTTTATTCAAAATATACCATGTGAATATGTACAATAAAACAACCAGGTCAGATAAGCTTCACGTTAGTAAACAAAAACATTTTGAACTTTCCACAGACTACTTAAAGTAGCATTCTAAAAGGGCACCCAGAGATATTTTTTTCATTAAGGCAAACAATATAATTTAAAATGTTGTCAATATTCTTGTTCAATAAAGCTGATGTTTCTAACATTATGTTTCTCCAAGTGTCATTGTCATTGCATTGGGAGTGAATAGTACTCTGGAGACACCAGGACTCAATGTCAACAGTGATAAATGGAAGTACAGAGCATCAGCTTTTGAATTTGTCCTCCTTGGGCTTCCAAATCACAATCAGACACATGATTAAAAAATCAATGTTCAGGTGATTACCTATATAGCTCTGTATAGCTTGGGGCCAGGCTATTTAAAGAAAAATATCTCCCTGAGCCTCATCCAGTCCATTACTGATTACAGGAACCAGTTTAGGATCAATGTGGCATCCTTGGCTTTCAGTGGAAAGGAATAATAGAGTTGGGTGTCATCTGTATAAATATGATGACGAACTCCAAAGCTCTGGATGATATCACTCAGTGGTTTCCTGTAGATATTAAACAACATGGGGGAGAAGATAGAACCCTGTGGGATTCCACAGGCGAGGGGATCAAACAGGAGTCCCTCACCACCGCCTTATGAGTCTGGTCTCCCAGGAATGACCAGAGCCACTGTAAAACAGTGCCCCCTAATCGCATCCCAGAAAGATGACTCAGAAGGATACCGTGGTCAATAGTATTGAACACAGCTGAGAGGTCCAGGAGAACTAACAGGGACACACTTTCCCTGTCTAGCTCTCTTCGTAGATCATCTACCAAGGCTCTAGATCAGTGGTCCTCAAACTAAGGCCTGGGGGCTGGATACAGCCCTCCAAGGTCATTTACCCGGCCCTCACTCAGGGTCAACCTAAGTCTGAAATGACTTGAAAGCACACAACAACAACAATCCTATCTCATCAGCCAAAAGCAGGCCCACACTTCCCATTGAAATACTAATAAGTTTATATTTGTTAAAATTGTTCTTCATTTTAATTATTGTATTGTTTTTAAGTGGGTTTTTTTTTTTTTTGCACTACAAATAAGATATGTGCAGTGTGCATAGGAATTCATTCATTATAATCCGGCCCTCCAACAGTTTGAGAGACTGAGACCTGGCCCTCTGTTTAAAAAGTTTGAGGACCCCTGATCTAGATAATTGGTTCCATCCAAGAAACTTCGGAGCTGTGAGGCTACTGCTTTCTCCAGAACCTTATCCAGAAAGGGGAGATTTGAAAATGGGTGGTAGTTTACTAATTGAGTAAGATCCACTGCCAGTTTATTTAATAAAGTCTAAGTCGGAGTTGATCTAAGCAACTTTATCTGTGAGCAACCTAGTAAATTCATTACAATGAGCTGTTGATTGGTCAGGGATCCCTGCCTGAGCCAGGTTTAAGAGTCCTCTGACCACTTAAAATAGCTCTTTTAGGTGGTTCTTTGCAAATGCAATGTTGGCGACAATAACCAATTCTGTGCCGCCTTCATTGCCGCGGAGTAGGACAACATGGTGTGTTTTGAAAAGAATTCAAACCTTGAGCATTTCAAGAGATACATTTCAAATTCATGCTTAATTTCATGATAAATCAGAATTCATGGCCATTGAGCAATACCTAGTTTGTGTTCTCTTAGTTTCTTGATCTTTTTTCATCATGCCTGATCCAAAGTTTTTCCATAAAAGAATAATATCATGAGGGAATGTCCACTACTCTTGAATTTATTCTAAACTATCTCACTTTCTCTTTTCATGTTTTCTTCTTCACCTTCTAAGCTAATGAAGCTACAATAATTTCTCTTAGATTCTCACTTGGATTTTCTTCTGGCTGTCTAAAACATAAGCATTTTCTCTCTCTCTCTCTTATCTCTGAGAGTTCTATGGAATTCCATTCTGTTTCATTATTATTATCTAACCTTTGTTCTTTTTGCTTTCCCAATTCTCTACTACTTAAACCTGTGTTTACCTCAATTTAAAGTCTATTGGCATTGGCACTAAGGAATCTTTTACTGCTTTGGTATCAGCTTTCAGTACTTGATTGATATCTCCCCATTTGTGCCATTTGATTCCTTAGTGTCTTATCTAGCAGTCTTCCACTAATATCAACTAATAAAGGATGTATATCTGTTGTTGTACTTTTTTCTCATTTTCTCCAGTCTTGACTTTCTCTCTTTCTCTTTCTTTTTCTCTTTCTAATGCATTGGCTCCTGATCTACTCAACAAAACTGCTTAGTGCTTCATTTCTTCTGCATCTTGAAATTTGGCATCCACTCTATTATAAAGTTTAAATTCCTTATCCACTTTAATAGAGAAGAAATTAAAAAGAAAGAAGAAAACAAAAAAAGAAATAAAATGCAAACAACGATCAATTAAGCAAAAACATATATACTAAATATACAAAAACAGACAATGTGGAATTTCTATATATGTCTGCAAATCTATATATTTCAATCAAGAAAAAATAAGGGGGGGGGGAGAAAAAATTCAACACCAAACAATTTCTAAAGAAAAAAGGATATTGCGGGTGTGGTGTAGTTTCCAGACTGTATGGCCCTATTCTAGCAGCATTTTTTCCTGACATTTCTGAAGATGCTAGTCACAGATGCAGGTGAAATATCAGGGGGATCTCAAAAACCAAAATGTTGGAATCACTTTGATACATGGATCTACAATAATACCCACTGTAATATAATTATCATTTCCTCGTTTTAATGTATGCAAACTGTGTTTACCCATGAGAGTCACTTCAATGAAAAACAATATTTGTGTTGTGTGGAAGACAAGGAAATGTCCATTTTAGGCTTTTTCCATCGTCCATCTAATGAACTGGACATTATATCCTTATTTATTTCCCACCCTTTAAAAAGAAGTGTAATAAATTTGTTTCAGTCATGTGATGGCCATTCCACACAGCCATATAACCCAGAATACCAAGGCAGATAATCCACAATACCTGCTTTGACCTGGATCATCTGAGTCCACACTGCCATATAATCCAGTTCAATGTAGATTTTATACAGCTGTGTGGAAGGGAACAGAGCAGAGTGAAAAACAAGGTTTGCATCTACAGTAGCAAAAAAAAGGGGGGGAGAGCCAGTGTTGGCAGTCCAAATGACATGCAGCAATTCTGAGAAAGATCTAGTTTTCTTGGTCTTAACAAACTTTGCTAAGAACTAAGTGACGAATTTAGGCATGCTTTGGGATGACATGAGTCATGCATAGGCTTCACACTAGGGCTGGGCGGTTTCGTTCGTTAATTTCGTAATTCGTTATTAATTCGTTATTTTTTTATAACGAAGCGATATTGAACCATTCAGGAGCAACTAAAAAACGAAACGAATTTTTCCAATTCGTTTCGTAATTGTTTCGAATGTTTCGAAATTGTTTCGAAATTGTTTCATTATTATTTCGTTATTATTTCCGTATGTTTGGTGCAAGTTTTATAGTCATTGTTTGTTTTATCAGTGATAAAAAAAATATCACTCCAACAGTCAACAACAGAGGGAGAGGGAAGCTTCAGAAGTTCCCCCTGTCCCATTTGGAGGGTTTTTTAGCGTATTGCGCAATCGCGTCCGCCATTAACGAATCGATTCGTTATTGTTTCGAAATTGTTTCATAATTTTTTGAAATTTCGTAAATATCGAACTTTTTAAAAGAAAAATTTCGGAATTCTTTTAAATAACAAAACGCAAAAAACCCCTAAAAACGAATCGAGTTTAGAAACAAATTTTTCCGTGGTTGGACAGCCCTACTTCACACCACTATAATGGATAATGAGAACTGAGCAAAGTCTGGGATAAGTATGGAACAGCCTGAGGTGTGTTCGCTATACGTATTGGGTTGAAATTATTCCAGTCAGTCATACACAGTGCAGAAGACGCACTGTATCTCTTTGCCATATGATCAGCACAGAGGAGAAGGAGGGACTACTTCTTTTTACTATATGTCTGGGCACCAGGCCTGACATCAGCAGAAGTGTTCTCATGCCAAGCAGATTTTCCACAGAACTCCAAGGTTAGTGAGGAAACTGTGGCAGAAGTATATAAAAACAAAAAATGAGAGAGTGCAGGCAATGTTTCAAAGTGATGCAACATCACGCATAATTAAACCAAATGTATGTGTCTATCTAGCATGTTGATCGATTCAGGGGCAATATGGAGCACAATGTTTTGTACTGGTCTTGTATTAAGAGGCTAGTGTAGACACTCCCTGCAATGAAGTGGATCAAAACTGGAGTCCAGACCTACCATAATAGATAATTCCCTTATGTCTCCAAACAGGATCATCTCTCTCTATCTTCCTCCCTCTCTCTGTGGACTTCGTCTGACAAGCCCTTGCATTTTGACCATGAGAAGTGCACTTTCTCTGAATCATACAGATGAACAACAAAACTATCCTGGAAACTATTCAGCATGCAGTGGCAACTATGAAAACGTTCTCAATAAAGCTGATCGGTTTCACAACCAATTCTACAGTATAGTATTCTTATCCTCACTCGATTCAACTTTGCAGGTCATTTTTACCTTTATCTTCTTTATATGCATTATAGGGATGATGGGGAATGGAAGTGTGATTTGGCTGCTTGGGTTCTACATTAAGAGAAATAACTTCACCACCTATGTCTTGAACTTAGCCATTGCTGATTTCCTTATGGTTATTAGCACATCGGGTTTAGTTTTTCTTAAGTTCATTACTTTATTAAAAGTGGCAGATGTCCAAACAATGCAGTGGTTTTTCTGGCAATTCATTATCATCACATATTCTGTGGATCTATATCTCCTGACAGCTATTGGTGTGGAAAGGTGTCTTTCCATTCTCTTTCCCATCTGGGTCCGTTGTCACCGGCCAAAGCATCTTTCCACCATTGTATCAGTCCTGTTCTGGATCTTGTCTGTCCTGTTTGCTATAACTGAAATCTTGATTCATTATTTTTGTTTACTAGACACCTGGGTTACATTTTTCAGGATCATTTTCAGTGTAAATCTCTTTTTCTTTACACCAGTCATGGTGGTCTCTACTCTGATCCTATTTATCAAGATGTCCTTTCAACATCAGCCAGGAAAGCTTCACACCATTATACTGATAATTCTCCTCTCCTTCACTATCACTGCTGTTCCATTTGGAATTTTTTTCTTCTTGGCTATCATAGATTATAATTTTCACATTATTGCCCTTCCAATTTATGCCCTGTTAGTCATTCTAAACAGCAGCATGAACCCAATTATTTACTTTTTCGTTGGGAATCAATGCACCTGTCGATCCTGGGAATCAATGAAAGTTGTATTCCAAAGGGTTTTCAAAGATTAAAAAGATCATGCAGAAATCAATTGAATGTTAAAACACAGTGATGAAGACAGGATACTGAAATTTAAAATCATATAATCCTGAAATCTATGTGTTTGAATAGTGAGTTTTATTGAAATCCTAAAATGTGATTTTATAGCAGTAAGTGGTAATGTTTATATTTTAATTGTTTTAAATCTTGTTTAGATTTTTAACTGAATGTTTATTTACTGTTGAATTGTTTTAAGGCATTGAATTATTGTCTCTGTTGTAAGCCACTTTGAGTCCCCTTCAGGGTCAAGAAAGACGGGATATAAATATAGTAAATAAAATAAAATAAAATAAAAAATTAAAAAATACAGAAAAGTTAAGGTAGCCCAATGACATAAATGGGTTTTCGGGGTCAATGAAATTCCTAGACCTAAACATACCCTATATATTTGAGTATAAGCAAAGTTTTTCAGCTCTCTTTTACCTCACTGTCTTCTGTTAATGTAAGATCAATGTAATGTGAATGTTTAAATGTAATTTTGTGTAATACCTGTGAATGTTACCTGATTGCATTACCAGAGAGTGTATTGACACTGAAAGGGTTAAGCAGTCAAGCCTCTAATGAACTGTGAAGTTGTGACCCTGAGTGTGCCTGGAACGCATAGGGAGGATCCAGACATAAGATTTTGTTCGTCCTTCTTACTTCGGTGTGTCTTTTGCCTTGTTCCTGTCTGTTTGGTTAGATGTAAATGCAAATGTGTGCTGCATATTTGCTCTACTCAGTAAAGCTATATGTTTGCTTTTATTGAAGTCTCAAAGTGTCCAATCTTCTAAGCTTCAAAGCTTCTGTCGCACTCTGATATCTTCTCCCTGTGGAGATTTGATTTTGAAAATATAGGCTTGCTGTAGAAACAAAGATTGGTGATAAAGCTTCAATGGAATCACCTTTTTCTCATTATAACTCTTTCAGGAGTGAATTTCCTAGAGGTAGACTTCTTTCACTTCCTGTTGTCTTCCCCCTGTTCTTAACAATGAGTCATTTGTAAGCTGGATGTTTGAAACTCGGAGAGTGCTTGTAATTATATATTATATAATGATATGTATTGCTACAACATTATTGATATGTATATGTATCTTATGTGTATCTGTCTATCTATGTCTGTATCTAACCATTCAATTAACAATGAGCACATGTCAGATAAACCTCACAAAAACATTTTGAACTTTCTATACATCTCAAGATTACTCTTTTCCCATTGAGACAAACAATATAATTTACAATGTGGTCAATGTGCTTATTCAATAAAGCTGATGTTTCTGGCATGAAGTGTCACTGTCATTACATGGGGAGTGGATAAAAGTCAGGGGGCAAGAAGCACAGTGATTAAGAGGAGTATGAGCACCATCTTCTGGATGTGCCCTGTCATGGATAACTCAGAAAGCAAGTATGAGGAGATGCTGGTGGAAGGGTCAATAGTGGAGCTGGAGCCCAGCAGAGCCAAGCAGCTTCCTCAGCCGAGCTCTGAATAATAATAATACTCCATCTCCCCGAGGGGACTCGGAGTGGCTCACAGTAATATAATTATACACATCTTCTCAACAACAACACACATAAATATATCCAATTTAAATTAAATCAGCAGTTAATAACGAGGCAAACAATATAAAAATAAAGCAGCATTTGAAAATTGCATAAAACATCATTCATTAAAAATCCCAACCACGGTTCAAATGAAAAGGAACAGTAAGATCCAATTTTAGATTTAGCTCATTTCTCATAACGTTGGACGAAATTAAGTTTACCCATTTTCAAAAGCCTGTTTGAATAGCCATGTTTTCAGTTTCTTCCGGAAAATGAATAGTGTGGGGGCCCATCTAATCTTCCTGGGGAGGGCATTCCAAAGCTGGGAGGCCACTATCAAGAAGGTCTTCTCCCCCGTCCCCACCAACCACACTTGTGATGAAGCTGGGGCCATCAGGAGGGCCTCCCCGGCAGATCTTAGGGCCCAAACTGATTCATAAGGGGGAGATGCAGCCATATAAATAGGCTGGACCTGAACCATGCAGGGCTTTGTAGGTAATAACCTGAATTTTTCGAGATACAGGCACAGTTGACACATAAGCATTAATTGTGCAAAGGCCCTCCTGGCCTCCACTGATGCTTGAGCTTTCAGTGTGAGTGCTGAGTCCAGGAGATCCTTCAAACTGCAGACTTGTGTCCTCAGGACTCCTGAGTGTCCCCTCATCAAGCACAGGTTGCCACCCTATATCCCGATCACCCTCCTGACTAACCAGGAGGACCTATGTCTTGTATGGATTAAGCTTCAGTTTGTTAACTCTCATCCAGTCCATCACAGCTGCCAGGCACTGGTTCAGGACTCGGGCAACTTTCTAGGCTTTAGGTGGAAATAAATAATAGAGTTGTGCGTCATCTGTGTACAGGTGACACTAAACTCCAAAACTCTGGATGACCTCACTTAGCAATTTCATGTAGATGTTGAAAAGCATGGGGGATAGAATTGAACCCTACAGAACTCCTCACACCAATGACCAGAGGCCCAAATGGTTATCCCCAGCACCAGCCTCTGGGAACAGATCCTCCAGGTAAGAGTGGAGACACTGCAAAACAGTGCCCTTAATTCCAATCCCAAAGAGATAGCTCAAAAGGATACCATGGTCGATGGCATCGAAAGCCATTGAGAGATCCAAAAGAACCAACAGGGATTCACTCCCCCATCTAGTTCTCTGCAGAGGTCATCCACCAAGGTGACCAAAACTGTTTCCATCCTGTGACCAGGACTAAACCCAGACTTTGAGGGGTCAAGATAATCAGTTTCATTCAAGAATCTTTGGAGTTAAGTAACAATCCCTCACTCTAGAACCTTTCCCAAGTAGGGGAAATTGGAAATGCAATGCAATTCGCTTGTTAAGGGACTGTTTTTGTTTGTTTTCTAACACAGAAAAATAAATAAAAATATATTTTAAAGATGAAAATTATTTATTTACTACTTACTGAACTGAAAATTCAACTACATTTTTACTATTGCTAAAAATGATTGTTTCCAATTTTAAAAAAAACAGAATTAATGAGATCCATTTTGGATTGAATCTAGAAACAATTACACTGCCTTCTGAAAACCGTCTCTAAGCTTTGACAATTAAAGAATGCAGAATTCTCTTGGGAAAATGCTCCCTCCACAATTACGATGTTGTTAAAAGATATAATTCAAGTAAGAGGATTCTTCTAGCAGATAATAGAAAACGAAAGGGTCAGAGGTTTGTCTATTTCTTTCCTCTATTTTCTCCCCAGGGCTCGTAGGGGTTGATGGAAATCTCAATATCTCCGCTGCCCTTGCATACACTGCACAGAGTCTGCTGGCCATACAAATCCCATCTGTAGCAGGGCCCATTTGAATTAAATATTTGTATTGGACAGACTGAAAGAAAGAAAGTGCTAGTATTACTGACAAGGAAATGACCTAGGAAGCTTTAAAAAAACCACAGTTGCTCCAGCTACAATAATAAATCACTAGATGTCCATCCCTAAGCTATAGTGAAAGGAGTATGGTCAAATTTCTGTTTGGATTTACAGTAAACCTATTAAAGCAGCTTCCTTCCTTGTATTGTCAAAGCCTTTCACAGCCGGAATCACTAGAGTTTTGTGTGGTTTCCGGGCTTTATGACCGTGCTCTAGCAGCATTTTCTCCTGATGTTTTGTTTGCATCTGTGGCTGGCATCTTCATAAGATCTATGGTAATGAAAGAAGTGAATTATATATACCTGTGGAATATCCAAGGAAGGAGAAAACAACCATTGTTTGTCTACTGAACAATTGTAGAGGGTACAATTAGCCAAGTAGATTTGTGTGTGTTGAGTGAGATTCACCCATTAGAAGTCTGGATGGGATTTTTTTTTCTTTTCGAACCTGCTATAAATCATTTCTGTGCATTTGAACTGGAAACAAGGTAGGACATTCTATCCATATCTTTTCTTTTCTCCATAGACTCTCATGCGCTTTCTCCCCCTCTTTCTAATGAGGCTATAAAATAATAAAGTTTTCACGGTCCTCCAAATAGCAACCTCCTCTAGCCCAAAATACTATTAATTTGAAAATCTACACCCTTGTGTTCAACCCTCTCTTGTTTTTGAACAACTGTTTTTATTTTAACTGTTCTGAAATATTATAAAATAACCTAGTTCAATACTCAATTTAGACTTTGGCCGAGACTGATGCAGATCCCTGACAGATCACTTTTTAAAGCAAACATGGAATATTCCCTACTGTGCTCATGTAGCACTAGGAAGTTGCTGGACTAGATATTCTAGGTTCTCCAGCATAATCCCGTGGCATTTGAAGGCCAGACGTATTCATTTCACAAGGGTTTGTTATTATATATGGTTTCATATATCTAAACAAAGTCAAGGATCTTATCACTTGCAGACCAGGGTTCATACCAAACTCAGAAGTCCTTTCCCTCATAGTTCATGACATGTATATAATGGTCTCTAGATGCCTGCTCTTAATCCTGTCCCATAACATTTCATCATACACTATATATATATATATCAAAGTAAATCTGAAAAAAGAGAATGGGAGAAATCGTATTTTATGTACACATACACACACATGGTTTCACTTATTCTCTTCGGTATGTTCTTGTGAAAGGAGTAGAGTCAGAAACTGGAATATGAATCAAAGTACAATATACCGTATATTCCGGCATATAAGACGACTGGGCGTATAAGACGACCCCCCAACTTTTCCAGTTAAAATATAGAGTTTGGTATATACTCGCCGTATAAGACCACCCCTCTTCCATTGCACACCAAATAAAAATAAAAAATAAAAACATCAGATTTGATTTCAAATCCAAGACTATCAAAGCAGTATCCAGCTCTTCGGCTTAGAAATGGAGATGAGCGCCAACCCCCAGAGCCGGACACGACTGGACTTAACGTCAGGAGAAAACCTTTACCTCACCTGTAAACTCCTGTATGTTTATTATTTATTTAACAGTTGTGGGTCCATGGAGCGTAATAAAGTTCTATAAATTTTTACCTTACCTTACCTAGAGTGAGACCAGGGCCGGGTCCAATGTCCTTTCCCCAACAACAACAACAATAATGGAAATCTAGAATTGGAAGGGACTCCAATGGCCATCCAGTCTAACCCTAATTCTGCCAGACAGGAACACATGTCCAAGCCCTCCCGACAGATGGCCATCCTGTTCTACTTAATAATAGC